AAAATGAGCTATTCTTTTCTTGCAATTGTCATTGATTCCCCCCCCCCCCCCGCCAAATGCCATTGATTTAATGGTATTTGGAAGATTAGACTTGGTAAGAAATGGGGACCACATTCATCACTCTTGTGAAACAGCATCAGGCTATTTTCAAGACATGTTACAGAGAGTTCTACATCTTCCTTTAAAAGAATAAAATCTGTTTTTAAAAACAAGATTGTCTACACAGACTATCAGTTTCATGGGAATCTGATTTGTTGCTAATCACAATTATATATCATCTGTGGCTTCCCACCAACTTTTTGAGCCACAATGGTGCAGTGGTTAGAGTGCAGTACTGCAGACTATTTCTGCTGACTGCTGATTGCAATTTGACAGTTCAAATTTCACCAGACTCAAGGTTGACTCAGCCTTCCATTCTTCCAAGGTGGGTAAAATGAGGAGCTAGATTGTTGGGAGTAAGATGCTGATTCTGTAAACCACTTAGAGGGGGCTATAAAGGGGTATACCGTATAAGTCTCAGTGCTATTGTTATTGTTATATCTGGCTACTTCTATTTCTTGGAGGGGGGGGAGGGCTTCTGTAGTTTTCCCCCCCTACTTGCCTCTCTCTCTCCAATGGTCTCTCCCTCTTCAATCTCTATGGTAACCGACATCTGGCTACCTTACCATAGAGTTGAAAGAGAACAGAATGGCACGATTTGTATGAAGATTCCCAGCAAGGTCAACGAAGATTCACGCTTTGCTGATCACTGTTGTTTTCTGCAGTGTGAGCGATGATGGATATTGGTCTTTATAACAATGTGGCCAGCAATACTTGATAATCTGTCAAAAATGGCATCCTACAGGTTGAAGCAGGAGAGAGTTCAGATGGTATTTACCATTTCATCCTGCGCGCAACCTCTGCTTCACCAAACTATCAAACTGGTATGCTGGGAGATAGGCAGGGCTGTCTTAACGCATGGGCCTGATGGTCACTTGCCCGTGGGCCCCGTGAGCATAGGGGCCCCATACTAATCTGTGTAGGTTAACCCTTCAATGCACCTTGTATTATATAAATATATTATGCATATATTATGCAAATATATGTTCAATTTTGTTGACCATTTACATTTTTATTCCTGTGAGTAGTTGTCGTGGGGGCCCCAGTACACTGCTTTGCCTGGGGCCCATAATGCTGTTAAGACAGCCCTGAAGATAGGTTGACATGTGTTCACTGCATTCCCAAATAAATGCCACATACAGGTTTAGAATTAATCTATTACTTGGGCAACCTGATGCCAAATAGAGGCCATCTGTCAGGTCACAGCAATGTACAGTATGGTAGCATATTTTCCTTTCACTGGAGGAAAGCATGTTAAGCCAGCTGTCCGGATGAGCCATTACAGCAGTGTTCCCCAATTTTGACAACTTTAAGACATGTGGACTTCAATTCCCATGCTGGCTGGAGAATTCTAAGAGTTAGAATCCAAACATCTTAAAGTTGCCAAGGTTGAGAAATACTGCCTTAGAGTATCAGATTCTGTGTAAAGCTAACTATGTATGTTAGCAAACACTACTCAGCATTGATTTTTGCAAACTATAGCAAATTTCATCTTGTCTCCTGTTCGTTATCATGTTCAAAAAGCAGAACCCAAAGAACCTATGAATGTATGAAGGGAGGAGACCGGGGCTAATTCCAAAATATGTAAGCCCACCTTTACATACTCTCCATTTGCAAAGGAACTTTCCGCTATGCATTACAGGCATCTATTCAACTGTAATGTATAAGCCATACTCTAGAAGCTTACTGCAAAGCTTAATTATCTAACTACAGCTAATTGCAGAGGCTTTATAGTATGTTGAAACTCAAAAGGTGGAGAGACTGGAATGAAGCAATAACTTCCATATTTTGGCAGAAAGAAGAAAGACACAATTGAGATAGAAGCTATTGCTCTTTAAAATGATACTGGATTCAACAACTTTCTGTTTGGTAACTCCACTCCAGTTAAATTTATTGACCATTTTGAAATAATGGCCATTCTTCCTATCCACAAACCACCTTTTGTGTTAATTTTTCAAAGTACTTATTACGTAAAAAGTATCAAAGAATATCTGAATGTATTTTCTTCAACTTCCCACATTTGGTATTTGAAAGTTAAAGCCAGTCTTCACCAATTTGATATTCTTCACAGGATTAGAACTAAAAGTCCAAATCAGTAAATTGGCTAGTAGGAATTCTGGGAATTGTCCCAAAATCTTTGGATGGTTGATTACATTGCTTGTTTGTAACCTTGTGTTTTTAACTAAAAATCTCCACAAGTGTTTTGTAGAAATGCAGTTTGAAACTAGTGTTAATAAATTAAGGACTAAGAAATACAAATACACAAAGAATTCTGGAAATTACATCTTGTTCAGATTTTGCTCTGGATTATTTTGTAGGTCTCCAGACATAAAATCAGTGCAGGGATAAAGTATAGATATGACCAAAAGATTCTGTATGATAAGCCACAATGTGGTTTGCTGGGTTTCAGCTTAATGTGTGGTATAAATCTAGCTAATTGTGGTTTATTCAACAAACAAATGATCAAGCAAAGCATGGCTTATAATGTGCAAACTCAATTGTTCCATCAGTAAGTCTATATTTCTCCACTTTTCTTTTCCTCTAACACAGATGGTCTAAGCTGGTAATGGAAAGAAAAAGGATCTTTTATTACCCATAACAGTTTGAGATACATATTTTCATCTATGCCAAGGTCAAATGAGTGCTTCTTCAATTTGCAGTGTAGTATGTCTTGTCATTCAAAATATCTAGGTGATGGACAAAAGTAAACTTTGGCTAAGAATTTGCTCTTGTGAGAAGACTCCTAGTTACATTATTCTCTGGTCCAATTCTATGCCAGGTTTTCCTAACAATCAAGTGTTTTCTAATAAATGTTGATGGATTTATAACATGAAGGTATTTTATCTACTGATCAGAAACAATGTAATTCCTTGTTGACCCCGAGAAGGATCCAAGTTAAATAAAATATGTTGAGGAAAAGAGAGCAGAAGAAAACATAACAGGCTCTGTAAAAGTTACTCCACTCCACCAGATTATTTAATTTTATCTCTTACTCTCCCTTGTTTCTTCTAAAACCAAGGGTCCAAAGTTGCATGCAATCCTTTGTCTCAAAACAGTGGTGGGATTCAATATTTTTTTACTACCAGTTCTGTGGGCATGACTTAGTGGGCGTGGCAGGGAAAGGATACTGTAAAATCTCTATTCCCACCCCACCCCTCGTGGAAGGTTACTGCAAAATCCCCATTCCGTCCCCACCCCGCTAACCTGCTTTCTAGCTCCATTCTCCTTTGCAGGGCAACAAAAGAAGACCCAGCCAATCAGCTGGGACTCAGGAGGCAGAGAATAGATGGGGACGGAGCCAGTCAGAACTTGCTGGATACCACCTCTGGTCTCAAGAGCACTGAATGGTAGACCTCTGCTTTCTTTTCCTATGGTCCAGCGCCTGCCTTCCTATTGCCAAAGCAGCAGTATAAAGAAACCTTTGGTGATTGTTGGGGGAGAGAGACCAACCCAAAAGGTTCCTGTTCTAAGTGACTTTGCTTTAAATCACTGGATTAAACCTAATAACCTGCAAGCGTCTTTCTAGGACAAGGGTCTTCAAACTTGGCAAGTTTTAAGACTTGTGGACTTCAGCTCCCAGAATTCCTGAGCTAACATAACTGGAGGAGGAATTCTGGGATTTGAAGTCCACAAGTCTTAAAGTTGCCAAGGTTGGAGACCCCTGTCTGATAGTGTTTGGAACTAAAAAGGCTTCCCCATCCTTGCTCCAACAGCCCCTGTGGCTGTTTGTTTTTCATCCTTTACAATAATTCTGTGAAGGTAGTATGAAGGGTAATGATTGGCCAAGATCACCCTTTGTAGATGACTGAAAATTAGTGAACATTATGCTTATTATTCTTTGTTCCAGTGTTCTGAACTCATCTGGGTTGAGCTCTTACAAAGAAATGTATTATCGGATGTAAAATATAGTTGCTGTGAAAAAGAATACCTGATGTTCTTAAAGACCCACCAATTAGATCAACTCCTCCCAGGTGAACCAGCAACAGAAAGGAGTTCCACCAGAGCTGGTGGGCCGGGGCGGGGGAGGTGAGAAGATTAAGCCTCTTGATACTATATTTCACGGGCTGCCCGTATATTGTCAGAAGAACAGATGGGGAATTACATTTGCCAGTTCTGTAGATGAAAGGTTCCTTAAATGCAAGATTAGATAAGCTACACTGTAAATAGAAATCATCATTCGGTTCCTCTTCCTCTTGGATTGCTACAGCAATAAAAGAAAAAGTAGGAATGTTGAAAAACTGTTTACTCTCTGGGGTCCTGGACATTGCCATCTTATAATCATAAAGCTAAAAGGGACAGTTGAATCCAAATCCTTGCTCAGTTAAAAAAAAAGTTTAATAAAAACATCCCACAGATAGATTCTGACTTTCCGCTGGTGTTTGACTTCCTGTAACTTAAATCCATCATTCTATATCCTGCATTCTAGAGAGAAAATGAGCTCCTTTGGATTCTCTGAGACCTAAGGAGTGCTATCATGTCCCTGTTGGTCATCTTTTCCCAAGATTATATATATATACACCCAGTTCCTTTCATGTCTCTCCACAGGATTTAATTTTTAGTTCTTGATCATCTCCTCAGATGCCCCCCTTTTAATACATTCTACTGTATATATGCTCCTTCAATATTTAGGGGTACTGAGCATAAACTATTATAGAGAACGATCCCAATCTCTCAACCACCCTCTGAGGAAAAATATCTATTTATGGAAAGTGTTCCTTTTACAACTTTTAAAAAATACTTTGCTTTATGGTCAACTTAACACAACTCTCGAGATGAGGGAAAGCAACATTCATTATACGTCCAAAATAAAAAGCATATACAGAATCTTTCTGTTGCCAAAAATAATTTAATAAAATCAAACTCAATTGGACAGTTGACAGCATGTCTTTTTCCCCTACATACTTTCAGAGAATTTAAGTGGAAATATATTAGAAAGAGAAACTATTACCAAGAACAGAACGTTTCATAGCACCCCATGAAGAATTTGTTATTGACAGCATTTAATTTTCATTCATTTGTTCATTCATTCATTCACATGGCTGCCCATCTCAAATACATGACTCTGAGCAGCAAAATTGGCTCTTTGCAAAGAAAATTCTGTATATGTTTTTATTGTGTTTGCTAAGATGAACAATTTCTATTTAAGTTAACAGCTACCCAGGCAAAAGGCAAACAAGCATTCCCAATGCAGTAGACATGGTTTGAACATACGTGAGTTGCCATTCCTCGCACATAACAGTATTTCAAACGAAGACAATCTGCATTAAAACCAATTCTACCATACCCTGGAACAGACTTTGGCAAACCTGGAACCTTCCATACTGTATGTATTGAACTGCAGTTTCAGCTATGCTGACTGGAGACAATGGGAGACACAGTCTAACAGTTCAAAGGTGCCAGATCGGGTGATTGCTTCTTCAGAGTGTTGGCTCGTCTTCACCTTCAGCCAGCCAAGAAATCCATAGACTGAGCTCTCACATTTTGATTCAAGGATGTGATTATAAAGTTTCCTGTTATTCTCTCATGGTGAAAATATGCAGGAAGGGTGGTCTTTCTGGCTGCCTCCCATCAAGCTAACCAGAAGTGAGAAAAGTGATTACGTCCCCAAATCTGGAAAAGCTTCTTTAACTAGGGCAGAATTCAACACACATGATTTCGTGCTTAATTCAAATCATTTAAGTATATTTTCAGAGAAAGTACTTTCATGATTAAAAACAAAAGTCAACGGTTGAGAGCATCTCTTTTCAAAGTAAACCATGAAAGAGTTGATGCCACAAATCACGTGGAAAAGGAGAGCAAGAAAGAAAAAAGAGAGAAAGTAAAATTTGCTTATACTGTACTTTTTTTTCCTACTCTTGGAGTAGATTTCGAATTTAAAAGTAAAGATGTTGGGAAATGTTCTTTTTTTTAAATGCTCATAAATTAGGCTATTGTGTATTGTGAACAGTGGAATGGAGCAGCATGGCAGGAAAAGAACACACAAAACAGTAAACCAACACAATTAAGAGGCTCTTAACTTATCAAAAAATTTCACTTACAGCAGCCACAACATGGTTTTTAAAATCTACATGAACATATACATTTTTAAAAGAAACTAACCATTAAGCACATACAAAATATTTAAAACAAATAATTTCTTCCCCTCAAATTCACAATTTGCTTAGTGTTCTTTTTTTTAATCTCAATCTCAATAACAACCAAACATTAGAAATGTAAGGTCAAGATGACATTTAAGTCAGCAGGTAAAAAGCAGTTTTGAAAATTGAGTTGAGGATCCCAACACCCTAAAGAAACTCATTTTGTAGCGTTAATCTAATTTTCAGTTCTTGAAGGCGGGATTTGCATTTAAAAAAACTACTTCATTTTTAAATTAACCGGTTTTCTGAGTTCCCACAATATACTGAACCGTGAACTAACTAAAAGGGCTATATTTGCACAACACATTGACTCAGAAAAATGAAGTTTCAGCTGCATGCATGCAATGGCACGGTGCACTTTCAGAAAAAGGTTAACACTGGGATACTTTCATCATTCGCAGACATGTTTGAAACTGGATAAGTGTGCTGTTTGAACCCAGTTACTGTGGTCTGTCAGCCTGTGCTGAAGATTACATGCCCATCCCCCCGCCCCCCCATTTTGAACTAGAGTCACCAGCTAGATCTGACAATAATGCTGAAAAAATCCATCTCTTCTGTAGGAAGCCAGAGCATGCCCTGTTTATTAAACATTCAAGTGGGGCCATAATGAATAAGGCCTGCAGGTACGCGATTGAGGAAAACATAAACACAGGATAACACCAGTTATTCCACATAAAAAAAAAAAAAAAATTGGAGTCTGACTGCTTGATGCACATCAGTTTGCACAAGTAATAGAGTTAGCAAGTTTTTTTAAGCTGGAGGTATTATCCCAAGAACAAGTGCTGCGTCAGAGGTGCTAAAAATAATGTTTTTAAAATGCCCAGAATCTTACATCATTTGACCCCAAAAAAGACCAAGATCTTACACGATTTGATGATTTCTCAAGATTTGGGCTATTTAAAATCCAACGTTTTGCATTTAATTTGGGGGTATCATAAATGCCACTGAGTACAGCACTTGTTAATATATTCCTGTTTGGAAATTTCCGAAATATGTAAAAATGGCATCTTGGATAGACTGATTGTATAGTTCAGGGGCCCACAACCCCTGGTGGACTGGCTGTGGCACGCCAGAAAGCAGGCTGCACAAACAAGCAAAGCCCTATTTGCAGGATGCTGGCAGCACATGAAACCACACCTCCTCCGGTACACGGAAAAACCTCTCTCCACGGAACCGGTCCCTAGCGACCCAAAAGTTGGGGGCCGCTGGTATTGTTATAGGGTCTTAAGGAAGAAAGGATCAGCTTTGGTGGAATCCTTAAAAAAGAAATCAAGGCGTCTCTGCTTATCTGTAGGCGACAGTGATCTCCAGTAAAGGAGACATAGTAAACAATCTCAAACGATGATAATTATTCCCTTTTATTTCCCTTATCATATTCTCAAACCTATTTTTTAAAAAATATTAACAAAAATATAAGGATCCTAATAAAACTGTGATTACTAACCCTCCATATAAAATAGTTGGCTCTGCGCACCTCCAGAGACTCCGCTTCTTTTCACATACTAGACAGTTAAGAGAAGATAAAAAATCAAGTACGGAATGCAGTTGCTCTGCTAGAGAGAGAGAGAAGGTTAAATTAACATGAACATCTGGATAGGACAAATATTTGGAGATCAAACAAACACCCTAACAAATGTTCTTTTTACATAAGGACACCAAGGATTTCAGAGCTGCTTTAATAGTACCCTGTTGTATATTTTTTTTAATTAAAAAAAAAATACGCAGTTAGGGAGCTACCAAAAAGCTTGCAAAAACCAGCAGCGGATTGGCCCAGGTTGCTCTGAAACGCTCTTTTGAGACTAAATAGTTGGAAATGCCTTTCCTTTTCACCAAAGTAAAATGCAAAGAGCGCCGTCCATTTCCTCCGTTTGGCAGCTTTTTTGGGGGGGGGGGGTGCCTGGATTACAACACAAAGATCCAAACTTATTACAGTACAAAGAAATATACAAGGGCTGGTTTGTGTAAAGGCACCAGCCCATCATCAGCTGGAGAAGCTTTTTGCTTGATGATTCCACTCTGGTTTGCAAGTGGGGGAAGACAAGGTATCCGAAGGATTTCTCCCTTTGTCAATAACATTATCTTTGTGAATAACATTACGTAATAACATTATTATATTGGCATCAGGGCAGGTAAAGTGGCTGTCCTCTTGCCGCTGAGCTCCAATTCCGATCAGCCCTAGCCAGCAGAGCCAATGGGGAGACACAAAGGAACCTCAAGTTTAAAAACGTCTGGAAGATTGCCACCAATAAATGAGCACAATCGGAAGAAAGCAAGTATAGTAAGTCCTCTGTTTAATGGATCTTGAATGCAGTAGACAAAATAGGTTGGATCTGGATTTTTGTCTGAATTTCAGGCAGTATTAGAATTCATCCCAAACAATGGATCAAATCAGGTGAGGCAATGTTTTCTGCTGCTGCACATGCATAATTTGTTTTTTAAAAAATAGTTCATAAATAATTCCCTGGTCAGTTAGTGCCTATCTCAAACTCTTTTACAAGATTTGGTAACTATGTCTTGTAAGAAAGGGTAGAAACGTTTGTACTTTTAGGTATAGCATTTACCTATGGCTTCATAGGTAAAGGCGACACCAAACACTTACGATTATTAAAGTAATTTCACGTATGGGTACATTTTGGCTTTGAACCATCTCATTCAGCTTCAATAGATACCCCTTTCCCCTGCCCGGGTCCCTAATCCATTAAATCAAGGGTTTACTATACAAACGCTTTTTCTAGGCACAATCACTTTCTGCTTTCAAGAAACCTTTCTCCCACACACAAACCCAATGTTTTTATCATTTGATCTTGATAATCGCACAAACAAGCCTTGGAAACAAGGGATAAAAATCAAAAGACGTAACGTCTCTCACGGTTACACTCAACTAAGCCTTCCAAGCATACAGCCAGCTCTTTCCCAGTTGTGGGTTTCCATAGCATTATCTTCAGATGGGATGCAGACGACAATCTTTCAGCGATGAACGTGTTGGTGGCCATTTCTCAGCAAATCCGATCTTTGTGGATGTAAATCAAGAAATGAATGCAAAAGGCCTGAAGTGCCAAGTTCCCTCTTGGAAAAAAAAAAGTCCACTCAACAGAAAAAAGAAGAGGGTCAGCCAGCCAACCTGCGCAAGCGCCTCTGCGTAAGGAGCATGTTGGTTTCTTTCACGATCAACGGCATGATGAAGACCACCGTTAAACTGGTCTGCAAAAAGAAAGATATGAATAGCTTTGAAGCAGGGGTGGGATTCAATTTTTTTAACAACTGGTTCTGTGGGCGTGGCTTAGGTGGTGGGCATGGCTTGGTAGTCATGTGACTGGGTGGACATGGCTTGGTGGTCATGTTATTGGCTGGGTATGGCCAACTCAATATCACTCATATCGAGGCACCTATCTCCTCCCCTGGCCTCTCATGACTGTGGGGATGCTTTAATAGTCGTAAGTGTGAAAAATGGTCATAAGTCACTTTTTTCAGTGCCATTGTAACTTTGAATGGTCACTCCACACAAGCAAAGTACCAGCAAAGGAGGGGAAAAAATCTCCAGAGACGTTCCTGAGACAGGAAGTCTAGTCCTGCCAAGAATGTTATAAGGGTTAACAAAGAGGCAGTTTTTGTAAGCAATACCAGAATGTTTCTTTCCTGCCTTCCTTACTGGATTAGGCCAGTAATTTCTTCTAACAGCCAGTTCTCTGAACTGCTTAGAATGTTAACAACCGGTTCTAGCGAATAAGTGTGAACTGGGAGAATTCCACCCTTGCAATTATGGCATTAGCTCTAGAGCAGTGATGGCTAACCTTTTCCGAATGGACTGCCCAAAGCGCGTGAATGTGCGTGTGTGCGCCTGAGCCCTCAAAATGCAATGTGTGCCCCACCCCTGTGTGTGGCTCCCTGCACATGTGCTCCCATGCATGCGCCCCCCATGCATGCACAGCAGAGACCCAATGACCAGCTGGCTGGTGGGAGGCATGCGCGCATGCGCAGTGGAGCTAAACCAGAGAAACGGCTCACATGCCCACATGCGTGCCATAGGTTCGCCATCACGGCTCTAGAGGGTATCAAATGTTAAACAGAGGCAGATCCAGATTTGCCACCCACTTAGAAGGACTTTGGGCCTGTTCTGTCTGTTTGCCCAAATGGCCCAATATTGCTTATTTTGATGGAAGCAGCATCTATCTGAGCCATTTTCTACTGGAAGAGGAGCCAAAATCAGATCTACTTTGATCATGCCTTAGATAGGTGATCTATATAAGAAGTGAAGATGAAGTGGCTAGAAGCCATCCTATGCTGTCCTCTATTTGGCAAGACAAAGCATACTTGAGTACAGAATACAGAACAACCGAATTGGAAGGGGCCTTAAGAGATCTTCTAAGACCAACCGCCTGCTCAGATAGGAAACCCTACACCACTTCATACAAAGGTTGTCCAATCTCTTCTTTAAAACTGCCAATGTTGGAGCATTGACAACTTCTGGAGGCAAGTTGTTCCACTGATTAATTGTTCTAAATGTCAAGAAATGTCTTCTTAGTTCTAGGTTGCTTCTCTCCTTGATTAGTTTCCATCCATTGCTTCTTACCCTGCCTTCAGGTGCTTTGGAGAATAGCTTGACTCCCTCTTCTTTGTGGCAGCCCGTTAAGATATCGGAACACTGGTATTGTGTCAGCCCTAGTCCTTCTTTTCATTAAACTAGACATATTCAATTCCAGCAACCCTTCTTTATATGTTTTAACCTCCATTCCTCTAATCATCTTTGTTGCTCTTCTCTGCACTCTTTCTAGAATCTCAACATTTTTTTTTACCTTGTGGCGACCAAAACTGGATGCAGTTTTCCAAGTGTGGCCTTACCAAAGCATTATAAAGTGGGATTAACATTTCACGTGATCTTGATTCTATCCCTCTGTTTATGCAGCCTAAAACTGCGTTGGCTTTTTTGGCAACTGCAGCACACTGCTGGCTCATATTTAAACGGTTGTCCGCTAGGACTCCAAGATCCCTCTAGTTTCTGCAACTTGTCCCTGATGATAGAAGGCATGCACTTGTCAAACTATATAGCCCCTCATGGAAGAAATAGTTAAGATAAGGAAAAAAGAGGGTTCTCCAATTAAAATCCACATGTGTGTTTGCTGAATGACTAGCGCAAGTGAAAACTGCCTCCGACTCTAGTCTACATTCAATTTCCCACCCTTAGTTTAATTGATGGCCTTTCCTCATAAAGGAACAGCTGTACGTATTTCTGTTGGGTGAACTTCCATGATAGTCCCACTTCACATTTAGCCCAGCTTTTCCAAGCCAGATATGTGGACTACAGCTCAAGGAATGCCCCTGTCAACTCACGGCTACTGCAGAGAATTCTAATAGTTGAAATCCATGCTTGGCATCCATATGAAGAAAGGATGTTTAGCTCTTAAGAGATGTTATTATACAGTCCCGTATACATTACCTCAAAGATACCTCTATCTAACCTACTTACTCTAAATGAGATCAGGATTGCAGCTTTCCTATGAGGTACATTCTTCAAATGCAGACTGTTGAGATGGCAGACCAATTACAGACTGAAAATTACACTCATTATCAATGATACAGATCAGACCCTAACAATCTCAATTTCACGTGAGAGCTATTTCATATTGAATGTCATGCAACCTATGAAGAAATTATATTCAGTGTGTTACAGTTGTCAATCAGATGATTCATACATAATGCCATCTCCTGTGAAATTGAAGAAATGTAATGATTCCAGGATTAAAAAGTTAAAATAAATTGAAAATACACTGAAAACTTCTATAAGGTTTGACTGCCCTTCATCTTCTTTAGATGAATTTTAGCTAAGAAACGATGTGTTTCATTCTCCTTATTCAAAATGTTTAAATATTCACCTACAATTGTTTCCGTCGAGAGATGGCATCAGAAGGGGGACCAGAGGGCTGGATACCAGCCAGCTATTAGCAATTCAACAGTGAAAAGATTGAGCCATCAATCAAGACATTATCTCATTGGGGCCACAATCTTTTTTTTTTAAACTGAGAAGAAACCCCCATTGATCTCAACTGGATAATGTATAGACTTGCACTCTAGCACTGCAATTTAAGATAATGCTAACCCAGGAGTTTTCATCTGCTTGCTTAACAATTTCATATCTGGATTTTTTTTTTCTTGCTGCTTGGTAGGAAAGGGTATAATCTAAAACTGTAAAAACAAATGTCTTCTTACCATCAGAATGAAGAAATAGAAAACTTGCATCCATCCCAACTTCTCCTGGATCAAAGATACTAAGTACTAGAAGGAAAGGAAATGTAAATGAATCTAAATCCTAAAAGGAATGCATACGAGTTTTATTTTTCTATTACTGTTTATGCATACAAATATATATTCATCTCTAATACACACACACACACACACACATTTCCCTGAATAATAAGACCTATCCCAAAAATAAGCCCTAGCATGTTTTTACACATGCACCTTATATATGCCCTATCCCTCCCAAATAAGCCCGACTTATGAGCCTGTGCAGGTGCCCATTCAGTCTCGTTGCTTATGGTGCCACAGCCGGAAGGCAGAGGAGTGGAGCTGTCTCTTGTGCCCCAAACCGGCTGACCTCAGGGCCCCCGTAGCCAGGCCATCCATGCCCCGACACCTGCCTCACAGTGGCAGCACCAGCACCCATGTGCAGCAGGAGCTACGTGGCCACTGGCCCACTTCTTCTGCTTGCTCACAGCCACAACTGAACAGGAGGCCGAGTGGTGTGCTGATGCCATGGCTGTGAGGCAAGGCAGGTGTCAGGGCATGGATGGCCGGGCTGCAGGGGCCCTGAGACAAGCTGGTGCTGGGTGCATGAGGAAGCCCCACCCTCTGCCTTGCCTCATGGCTGCGGCACTGGCACATTGCTTGGCCTCCTGCTCTGTTGCGGCCATATGTAAGCAGCAGTGGGCCAGCTGCCATGCAGGGTCCTGCTGTTCCATGAGCAAGCAGAAGTAGGCCTCCTGTACATGGGGAAAAGAATAAGATTACCACCACCCCAAATAAGTCCTAGTGCTTATTTTGGGTCCCAAAAGAAAATAAGGGAAATTCGGGTATATTTCTATGCCTATACATGCATACTGCACGTACAAGGAAATACAAACTTATACAAAGACACGCACAGAGGCTCCTTATATACACCTCTCCCTTGCCCTCCCCTTTGTCTCTCTAAGTAATTTTTTCAACATTAAGCCACGCTTCACACACAGTTCTTTTTGGAGGTGGACAACGCAAGCTCTGCTCCATCATATCTGAAGCACAGCAGGTAGGAGAAAATGGGCACGCAAATCTAAATCTTTATGAGAGTATCAAACAGCATGCTTGAAAATGCTGTCTTATAATCACCGAAGCAGGGGAAAGGGGCTCCTTCTCCTGAAAGTCCTTTCGCAAATCTAAGCATAAGAAATGATATAGCAGCAGAGCCACACAAACACAAATTATCCAGAGGAAGAAGTTGCTAAAGAAATCCACATTTCTTCTCCTCACATCTGAACCTAGCGGGGAGAGAACAGGACAGAGACTGAAAAGGAAGCCTAAGAGAGAAAATGGTCCTTAAGATGCCCCAGCCAGGAGCTGATGAGATTTCTAAACGAAAAGCAGTTGAACTTTAATTGCAGCGCTGCAATGCTGCTTCGATTTTAAATTCTGATGGATAAATGTTCTGCTGCTGAGGTCTGCACATTTCATAAGGTTTATTATTCTATTGCATTATGTTTTCATTGAGTTTTTATTGTGGCAACCCTCCTGTGGGACAGCTTCTGCCCTTCAAAGGTGGCCTTGCAAAAAAACAACCAATAAACTGTTCGGTCTAAGTCCACCAATGCCTTCTTTGACTTCCACAAGATCAGAGCAATGATCTCACACTGGAAATCTCTTCCAAATGCCGCCTCCTCTAATGAGAGACCGACATCGTCACCCTGGCAAAGCACTGCTCTCTTCCTATACTATCTCCACATTCCTCCACATTCCTTTTTTAATTAAAAAAAAGAGACACAGAAAAAAAATAGCACAAATTAAATCACAGTGGGGGAAAAAACTCGCACCACTTCACATAACTGCTGACTGGAATCAGGCAGCCTCTAAATTATATATTTTTGTTTATTTATTAAATTAATTAATTAATTTTGTTTTGCTTGTCAAGCATGTATGAGAAAACAAATATAAGTATGAACATAAGATATAAACATATAAGTATAAATAGTATAAGTATATGCATAATAAATGAGTACGAATCTTGAGGAGAATCTTTAGGATATATATATATACACACACACACACACACACACACACACACATGGTATATGTATACACACACACACACACTTGTACTCATTTATTATACATACACAAAAAATATATATAAATATATATTAAAATATTATATATACATATACATATATGGGAATCTGAGAGTTAACAGTGAGAAACTTAATAGGCCCTGAAAGTTAAACAGGTTAGGCAGCTCATAGTGGAGAAACTAGCTTAAAACATAGTCATGTTTACTTTTGCATGGAAATTACATTTTCACTTGGGACATTTTGTGCATCAATAAATAATGTTTCTGCTTTTTATCCTCTTCCATAAATCACTTCAAATGGTTCTGGAGAGATTTGGTCCAAAGTGCCCTTGTTTCTACCGCTGGAATAAACCTTAGTGCGTTTATGTTTCACATGCTGGCTTCTTTAAGGCTCTTCTTTTTCTGACAAGTTCAACGTATTTCTGATGCTGACTTCCCACTAGGGGAGACAGCCCAGTTTGTGGAATCTCAGCTGGTTGCTATGGTGATGTACTGTCACAGATAACAGCAATCTTAGGTAGAGAAGGAAGTAGAGGATACAATTTGTCAGACACAAAGCCCTCGTGAATAAAGGAAGTTCGAAAAATTGGAGAATGGCAATGGCTAGGAATAATGGATTTTACAGAAGGTACGCCATTGTTATCTTCACACAATGGCCGGTCTTACAGCTTTGAAAAGCACTGTGTTGCTTCCTGAGGTCATGAAGCAAAGGATTAGTAATTTCTTCGAGCAAAACCACTCCAGAGTCAGAAGAAAGCCGAGAGGAATTCCACACTGCTTATGCTCCCTCAAATCAGACTGGCCAAAGCATTATTGTAACATTCCCCCAAAACCAAGTTTTAAAGATACCCTTTCCAGACCCAGCACTTTTCTCTAGTAGCCAACACTTTTGCCAAATCGTTAAGTGCATTCCTGCATTGCACTCACATCTCTTCCAAGTTTGTCCTGTATTTCCTGGTGTGAACACGTCTGCGACCTATCGAAAACTCTACAACAGAAGGGATGCTGCTTGCAGCTCTGACACTGGTCAAGAGAAACAAACATAATGAACGTCTGTAGAGATTCTCAGTCCTCCTGGATGACTGAGGATCTCTACAGAACTTTAGCTATACAATTTGGGATGAACACCCTTTGAATGGTGTGGGAGTAGGAACGGATTTCCAGAGGGGGGAAAAAACTGCAGACTACAGGAACCAGGAGTGAACCTGAGGAGACAGATAAATCTCCAAGTGGCCTCAACAACCCTTTAAAAAAAGATGCAAATGACCAGCTGTCTGCAAGGAGTATAAATCCTTCCATTCCCCACTATCCTGTCAGAGCTGAAGAAGCTTCTTGGATGAGAAGTGAAACGTCTTCAAAGAAAAACAAACAAGAAAGTCCAGTTGCCTCCAGAAGAAGCACCTTTGGGACAAACATAATGAATTTTGCTTAGCCTAAAAGCCCACAGAAGAGATTTGTAAATATTAATGCATATTTGTTGTTTACACATAAAAGGAGCCAATGGGAAAAGGAACTCAGACAACCGTTCTTGTGAGCCATTTTGCAAGTGAGCAATGCAGCAGGCTAGTGAAGCAGGTAAATAGTTCCTACAGTCAACCCATGTGGGTTCTCGGAAGGTGCACAGTTAAAAATTAAAAAAACTCCACAAACTGATGTGACAAAGCATTTTCATAAGAATGGTCAGGCCCCAACTGAGATGACAACTAGATATAGCAAATATTATCTATCTATCTATATATATAAAAGCGAAATACCACTCATGCATCATCACAAAATCTCCAGAACCATAAAGCCTACAAACTTGAAATTTGGCACATGTGTTCCTCTTGGCTTCTAGACCATCAGAGCTTTAGTATTTTATATATTATTATTAACATGCTCTGATGCTAAGGAGTTCAACTCCCCCACCCTGCCTGAAAAGAAATCTGTTCTAAATACAAAACACAAGCAGAAGAGAGGCGTTTCAGTTTCAGTTTCATAGCAGCAAGCAGCTTTAGTACAGAGCAGTTGAGCTAAGCACATCCAGGCTCCTTGCTGTCACCTTGCTCACACAGCAAATACTGTTTCAATTTCCAAACAGCCCTCAACTCTCTCAGACCCTGACAGGACGCTAGCCAGATGAATACTAATAGATGCTGGTAGGCAGAGGCACAATTTTTCCCCCTTATTTTCCTCCCAAAAAACTAAGCCCGATCACATAGTTTTGTAGTAAAGCATGGCTATTAAGCTAGTACGGCAATAAATAAAAATAAATAACAGCTTTTATTCTTGTATTTACATTTTTGTTCATGTGTTTACATTTTTATTCATTTCCAGTTATTTACAGCCCACCCCATTCTCCCCAGACTTGCTTGGCCATTGTAGGAAATGACATCCAAAGTGGGGTCAGCAGCCTGGATGGGCCTACTGCATTGGGATATAATTCTACGCACTTCTGATCTTCTTCACAAAGCACGAAATCACACTGGGACTTGCTTGTCCTTGGTTTCAGTCATGCGTGAACTCATGCATTACGGCTTTATATTTTGCATGAAGGCAGGCCACTGATGCAACAGAGCATATAAGTTGCTGTTTTTTTAAAAAATACCTTCATGTCCTATCTATGTAACAGAAATATGACTTGTGAATTGTCACCTTACATTTGCTAAGATGCTGTTAAAAGAAAAGAGCAGAATTTGGAACTGGCTGAAGACATTACTGCTGAAAAATTTATACCTTTAATTTTGAGAAAGGCTGGTTGATTTTAATTCTATTTATAATATTTAAATATGGCATCCTTCCCTGTTCAGTTACATCTCTCTCTCTCTCTCCTTTCTCCATAAAGAGTTAGTTTTCCTTTTTCCTACTTTACCAAAATAGCTACCAATTGTTCTTTTGTTCTCTGTATCCTGTTTTTTTTAGTTCTGCTTTTGCTATTTCTGCTAGATTTATTTATGTATTTATATCCTGCCTTTACTATTTTTTATAAATAACTTAAGGTGCCAAACATACCTAGCGCTCCTTCTTCCTCCTATTTTCCCTATAACAACAACCCTATGAGGTAGGTAGGGCTGAAAGAAAGTGAGTGGTCAAAAAAACCAACCAACTGGCTTTCATGCCTAAGATGAGACTAGAACTCTCTGTTTCCTGGTTTCTAACCTGGTGTAAATACTACACAAACCAGTGAAACCTGGTGTAAGTACTACACAAACCACAAACCAGTACTTTGCAAGTACTACACAAACCAGTGAAAATCATGCACTGGGCTCTTCCTTCCCCCTGCAGAAACAGGGAAGAAAGATGCTCTCTTCTAGGTGACACAGAAATTAATAAGGAAAGCCATAAGCATAGAAATAACAGTAGAAAGTGAAATTATTTATATCTCCATCTTCCTAGACAGCAACATTGCTAGATATGCAAAGTTGGCTCTCACTGTGCATTATCCTCCCCATTACACGCCCACATAATACCTCAATAGGCTGAAAAGGTGAAAGGGAAAGAAAAGAGAGACAGTTTAAGGGAGGGGTCTCCAACCTTGGCAACTTTAAGACTTGCGGACTTCAACTCCCAGAATTCGTTTGTATTAATTCTGGGAGTTGAAATCCACAGGTCTTAAAGTTACCAAGGTTGGAGACCCCTGGTTTAAGGCACAAGACTAGAAACCAGGAAAATGTGACTTCTAGCCCTGCCTTAGGCACAAAAACTGATTGGGTGACTTTGAGCCAGTCACTCTCTCTCTCAGGTCCCCTCAGGGTTGCTGTCGTGGGGAAAATGAGAGGAAGAAATAGTACTGGCTATTTACCAATATTGGGGTTATTTATAAAAGTAATAAAGGCAAGATTTAAAAAAAAATCTTTTAAAAATGCTATTTGCCACAGGGAAGATCTGCCAAACAGCAGGCTTTCAAACACATAAGTTAGCAGCACCACAAAAGACGCTGTCTGTATGAAAAAGTCAGCAGGAGCTCAGGATTGGAATTTGACTGCAGCTGTTTGAATGTCCTCTAGATACGCTGAAAGCATATTTTTCTAAACAAAAAGTTCGCAATAAGTTATGTTTTCCCTAAGGAGAGTTCACCCTTTTTTCTTATCCCTTCTGAAATGTAACGAATATTACTATTAAAACAACCTTTAGTGAAATGTTGCTGAAAAGAACAGCCTGCCAGATCTTAAATTTTCATTTTAAGAAACCTTCGCTTCGGTATTAGTCGTTCCCCTCCAGTTGCTTAGTGACTGAAGTTACAAGAGATTCCAAAACACACACACACACCCCAAGTGCACTTGCAACCCAATTCCAAAATTTGGACTGCTATCTCCCCCCAGGGTCACATGACTGCATTTTGAACGCTGAGCAAATTTGTGGCCATTTGCAGCATCCTGTGGTCAACGTGGCTACAAGCTGTTTTAACAAATCTGGCATTTACTTACTTTATTTCAGCAAAAATGGCCCATAGCAACCAATGGGTACATTTAATGATCGCCACATTTGCTTAACAACGGCAGCTTCACCTGTTAACTGTACTGATTTGCTTAATGAGTGCTACAAAAATAGATCTTAAAATTGGACCTGTAGCGTGATGATTGCCTTATGACCATCGACACTTCCAATCAGAATGAGCAGGTTTCATTATGGTCATTAGTCAAGGACCAGCTATAGGAGTTCCTTCATTGCTATAACGATCCTGATTGCTGTCCGATCTGTCTCACCTGACCCACAGCAGCCCCAATACTGCCGGTGCCATCCACAATCCCTGTCACGGTTGCAAGAGCTTCGCTATTTCCTTTGATCGCGTCCTGATGCCCCAGGTCTGCAGAAATGGCAGAGCTGATCATGTTGGAAGGGCCTCCAATAAAAAACCCTATGAAACATCAAAAGGAAAATGCAGGTAAGAATGAGAAAACAGAGGAGGCGGGCTGTTTCCAATGCCAAGCAAGGTGGTCTTCATCTGAACCAGCAATCTTGCCCCTTAACCAAAGAAAACTATCGAAAAGTCAGACCAGCCATGCATCCAGACATCAGTGGAAATATTAAAATGTGCTGATTTAGTTTAGAGTAATTGTTAGTTTGCAATCAGACAATCACTCCCCATTGGCTGGGGAATCCTGGGAGTTGAAATCTACACATCTTCAAGGTGCCACGGTTGAGAAACACTGGTCCAGACTGTTGCCCATTTGCTCCTCATTAAGCTTGCATGGTTTAATGCAGGGGTTCCCAGCCTCCGGTCTGTGGACCAGCATCGATCCGTGGCATGCCAGCAACCGGGCCACGCGAATAAGTGAAGCTCCATCCACAGGATGCAGGCAGCATGCGAAACCACGCCCACTCTGTGGAACCGTTCCTGGTCTGCGGAAGAACCTCTCTCTGTGGAACCAGTCGCTGGTGCTCATAAGGTTGGGGGCCACTGGTCTAGTGTCCCACTAGTAAATAGAAATTATATATCCACAAATGTGTTTGCTTCCCTCTCCCAAAGGTGCTGATTGTGAACTTCTGGAAGAAGGAAAAGCAAAATGTACAGTATTCCCTAAATGCTATGGCAGTAGACCCAAGGGTGTTTTTTCAAGAGGCAATTGGACTTTCTGGTTTTTCTTTGAAGATGTTTGGCTTCTTATCCAAGAAGCTTCTTCAGCTCTGGCTGGATCCCCCACCAGAGCTGAAGAAGCTTCTTACATGAGAAGCCATCATGAAAAAAAACCCTTTGGGACAACCAGGACCTGGATGACTGAGAATCTACACCGATGGCAGTAGAGTCTTTGTAACAGACTAGACTTTAAATGATTGCTTCATACATTGCAGTAAACCACGATTTTAGCATTGAATAACCCATTTGGTTATAGAGCATGCTGTTATAAATCTGCTGGGTTACAAATAAAAGTGGGAAAAACCCACAAGCCAGATTATGGCTAGAACAAAACATTGAAATAAGCCATGACATTATGAAAACAGATCTCCTTTACTGTCCCTGAAAATAAGTTGATCTTTTACCTGTAATTGCCATGATAACTGCATTGATAGGTTTGTTATTTGGGGAACCTATGGAAACAAAGAAAAGAAAAAGGTCATAATTCTTTTTGCCACAGATAAAAAGTTCAAGATGAGATGAAAAGCTGATTATAAGAAACCCATTTCAAGATTATGCATTGGCACGATATGTGCGCTGCAATCTTCTGCTGCAATAGAGTGTTTCTTTAACTTTGGCTTCACTGATGGTTAAGTATGCTTCCCTCTCAAAACCAGGGGAGAAAGATGAGGAAGGCAAGAGGAGCTCTGTGCTTAGCTATATTTGGTTTAGTCCATAGTTGAATTGCTGGAGCAATTTTGGATCAATAAAAGTTGATTTGTTTGAATCTCCCTGAACTGGAATAGAACATTTAGCAAGGCAGCCAAGAACACTGAACTGACAGGACTTTAGCCTCTCATAGATGAACCTACAAAACTGAAGGGAACTGTGTGTTCCCAACCTTACTGAAACCAAGAATTCAGCACAAGTGTTTTGCCAAGCACTGATCTAATCAAGCGATATGGCCAAGAGTGAGCGAAGGCTGCTGCTAGTGCAATATTTCAACGTCTATATCAGGAAGAGCAGATTTGGGAGACTCTCCATGAAATCTCCGAGATACATTATTCCAAAATAATAACAAGCTTTGCGTTTGCCCACAGCTCTCACCCAGATTCTGATTTTGAAAAAATCAAATTTTAAAGATTTTGAAATCGTTTGATTTCGCCCAGAAAGAGGAAATCAAAAGAAATAAATCAAGAGGGCAACCTCCAGGAGCTCAATTCTAGAAATTATAGGGTTCCCAGCAAAATGATAGAAGCAATGGATTTCAACTAAAGCTTAGGATATTCAAAGCTGTAATTACCTTAACAACTCTCACTTGTGCCTGTGGCCTAAACACAGGCAATGCTCCAATAAAGGTACCTCTGCACAAGTGCAGATAGTGCCCTCTACTGGAAAAGAATATTCTCCTTTTCCTGTTCATTCCAGCACACAATGGAACACTCAGTTTGCGGGTCTCCCAGAAGCACCTGGCTCACCACTTTCATTAGTAAGACGTTAGCTGAAGAGTTTTATGAGCCCAGCTTATTGAGCAGGTTTCTTGTAATTGATTTTTTTAAGGTTACTGAGAATTCTATCTCTTATTAAACTCAAAAGCTGAGTTGATTGTAACCCATTTCAACTGCTGATTTAATATGGTAAAGAAAACAGCTCATACCACAAAACCTACTGTGCAGGAAAGTACTCACGGCTGTATCCAAAGAGAGATCCAATAGCCAAGATGAGGCTAATAGCTAATACAGGAGCTCTTCTTTGTAGCACATCAGAGATAAAACCTTGGATGGTACCACCTGTAGAAATAAAAGGAATAAAGACTTATCACAACAGATCATAATCATTATAAGAAAAAATGCACAGCAAGAATCAGCATTTATTACTTTACTATTTTTACAATGTTGGAAGCTACCCAAAATCATTGGATAGTGAGATGGGAAGCATATAAATTTAACTGATTAATTTTTTAAAAAGCACAATTGGCTACAAATTTAGCTGTCTGTCTTTCATACATTGTGTTGACTGGAAGATTCTCCAGCCACTATTCTAAACCATCTTTTTCCCATTTTGGTTTTCTCCAAAGTGAGACTTAAACTTTCCAGATAGCCCAGACAGCAACACTAATGCTAAGAATTCTGGGAGTTGGAGATGGGGCAGTGCCCAAGTGTGTTGGGAAGCACCTGTAGGCAATTAGATTGTTATAGTGCCAGTTTAGTGTAGTGGTTAAGGTGTGACCTAGAAACCAGGAAACTTAGGCATGAAAGTACACTGGAGGGCCAATCACTAGGAGACTGTGAGTTCTAGTCCCACCTTAGGCATGAAAACCAGCCAGGCGGTTTTGGGCTAGTCACTTTCTCTCAGTCCATCCACCTTATAAGATTGTTATTATGAGGTGTGAGGAAGAAGTATTATTTAAGCTCAATGCTTTGAGTATGTGTTGAATTTATATTTTACTGACAAAGAAATAAATGGAGACTAGAATAGTTCTATTTCAAGCTATTTAGCTCTCATCAGCTAGCCATACCCTTTCTGGGATTCGAACCCTGGGTACTTGCATATTAAGTAGATGTATTAACCTCTAAGCCACGGGCTCTCCTCACTTTGTCAGCTGTACCAGGAGAGAGATTAAGTGTTTTTTCTGGTGGGACCAGTTTATCAGAGCAACCTGGTTTACCCAAATATGGGACGGAGCATACTGCTTCCACTTCACTGTTTTGAGTTACTTATAAAAAAATGAAGACAGGATAAATTCTAATAAATACAAAGATTTGAAATCCTGCAGTTCCTTTGGCCTATTCCATCCATCATCACTTTGCATGCCAGTCACTAATTGGTAGACAAGTAGTGTCTACTTAGTTTTAAACTAGCATTCTCACCCACACCCAGCCACATCCTGTTCTAATCCCACAATGAACAGAAAATGAAATATAACAACAAAAAGAATTTGTCTTTTGCTCCATAGCCATACCTATAATGCCTCCAACATCATACCAGATTGAGAGCTGGTCGGCTTCTGCCTCCTTCCAACCAAAATTGTTGCTGAGGTAGAAGGGCAGCCAGAAGAAGAAGGAGTAATTCACTAGCTTCAGGCAAGCATAGGCCAAGGAATACTGAAACAAATAAATACCATCCCAAAAGAAAAGCTATTAGAATGAAAACAATCCTAGCTGAGTCAGCATGGCTTTGTAATTCTATAATGCATAGAGCCGGGATGTTCAGTCTTGGCAACTGTAAGGCTTGTGGATTTCAACTCCCAGAATTCCCCCAGCCAGCAGATATACCTTTATTAAAGCTGTAGGATGGGCACAAGTAAGAGTAATGCTACTGTTACTGTTAAGTTGTTAGGGTAATTATGACATATCATAAGCTTTAGTTGAAATTTCTTGCTTCTGTCATTTCTAGAATTCAGCTTCTGGAAGTGACCGTCTTGATTTATTTCTTAAAAGTTGACAAGGTTGGCCAACTTAAAAGTGAATCAGGTTCAGATTTTTCTACTCAAGAGCGGACACTCTATGTCAAGGATGCCTGGCATAGACTATCAGATCTTGAATAGAAGAATCTGAATCTGATCCATTAGAAAACATGTTGGATGAACTGGAGATCAGTTATTGCCTGTCAAATGCACCAGTATGAGAGGAAAAAATGGGAAGCACTGCCCGGCTCTCTTAAAAATGCAAAATGATGCTGTCTCTTCTTGTTCTGACCCTACGCAGCATTATTTAATATTGACTAGGTCAGTCAATCTCAGCAACTTTAAGATAGGTGGACAATTCCCCAGATTTCTGGCTGGGGAATTCTGGGAGTTAGAGACCCACACATCTTAAAATTGCCAAGATTGAGAAATATTGGAATAAGCAAACATTAGTGGCAGATGGACACTTTTGGAAGTGTAACATTATGTAATGGAATTCTCAAGGGTAATGTGCACACAGCCAGTCACAAACCACACACTGATAAGGAAGCAAACTTAATTAGGCTGCTTCTCACCCCAAGATGTTGTCTATCACTTCACTTACTTCTGTCCCTCTTTTTGGGGGGGTGGGGTGGGGTGGGGGTGCAGGTTGGCAGATTGCTAAGCTAAGAATTGGGCTGCAGCTGTCCACTGTTCCTTTTCTTCGATTTCCTCTTACCCCATGTGAGCTCTAAAGATATTCCTAGAAATAAATTGATGCTTTGCAGCATGCCAGCTTCTGTTTTTATTTAAGTAAAACTTTCTTGATTAAAAATACCAGAGGATAAGAGGATATTGGGAGGGGAGAACCAAGACAGTGTCCTTAAAAATACTTGTGCCTAAAGATCTCATGCGACCTTGTTTCTTAGTGCAAAAGTTATATCACTGTAAGGGGATGATAACAACAACCTTACCAATAAGACGCCAGGCAGACAACATGCCTGAAAAAATCCAATGGCCTGGGATGGAGCATTTGTACTGCTTAGGTTGGATGCCTGAATAGTGTAATTCTGTTCATCAAAATCTTCATTCTCCTGGCTGCTAATTAATGGCTCAGTGGCATCTTCTTCAGCAGTTTCACCCTTCCCTTCCTTGCCAATTTCAGGGAGGCCTAGGAGAAATCACAGAAAGACAACTTAAAAAGAGCAAAGGAAGGGAAAAATCCCCTCGGCTCATGCCTGCTCTTTTGAGCGCTTGTTCCTCCCTTCTGAATCGGCTCCCTTGCTTTCTCCTGCTCTTCCTTTGGCTTAGAAATGCTTCTACTCTTGGAGCTATTATGACCAAACCTGAACTCTTAAGGAAGTTGCTGTGAAGAACTCAGGTGTAATAAAATGTGAATCCACTTTGAAGTAATCTACCAGGCCACAAAACTCCCATTAAAAGTTAATTCTGTACTGTGAGTCATCAGCCTGGTCTCAGATGCAGCATTGCAGATATTTTGTCAAGTGAAATATTGGTACTGTTTTATTACTGCCATATTATTGTTGTTGCCTTTTTAGTTATGAAGTTCAGAAATGTCGTTCTTTCGTATGTGCACACCATTTTGTTTGTCTGTTGACCAATTTAGACTTGTGATAAAGGCAGGATATACAGTACAGATAATCCTTGACTTATGACCACAATTGAGCCCAACATTTATGTGGTCAAGTAACACATAAATTTTGCCCTGTTTTATGACCTTTCTTGCCTTGGCTGTTAAGTGAATCATTGTCATTTATAAGTTAGTAACCCAGTTGTTAAGTGAATCTGGCTTCCCCATTGACTTTGCTTGTCAGAAGGTCGCAAAAGGTGATCACATGACCCTGGGACACTGCAACGGTCATAAGTATGAACCAGTTGCCAAGCGTCTGAATTTTGATCACATGATTATGGGAGTCTGCAAAGGTCGTAACTTTGAAAAATGGTCATAAGTCACCTTTTTTGCAGTGCCGCTGTACCTGTGAACGATCACTAAACAAACTGTTGTAAATCGAGGACTACTTGTTAATGTTTAAAATTGGGGAAAAAAATCTTACCCCTAATGCCAGCATCTAATGAGGTTTTCAATATTTAATATGGATTTTGAGTGGTGTACCAAGTCAAAAATTAACTATGCACCACTTGCAATTTGGGGATTGCAAGCAGCAAAGACAAAACAAGTGAAAGGGTGCTTCTACTTACCTATCTCTTTGGGAGAAATCACAAGGCCAAAAAAGACAATAACTCCTCCAGCAAACTGTACTGATGCAGTCACCAAGAAGGCATACTGAAAGTGGGGGGAAAAACCCAATGAAGATATTTTATGGGTGTCTCTTGGATTTTCTCATCTTAGGTCTAGCAATTAATCCTCCCGGTATTTTATTTTTGCTTGTATATAAAGTCCCAACATATTTTATTGGAAGACACAGAGAAACGCTAATAAGTCCAATAAATAAAAACACACAATTCATGCTCAAATATCCCTGGCTCCAATCCAAGTGGGATAATGGCAGGAAGCCTCACCCACCTCATAGCCATACTGCAGAACCGATGAGGCAAGAAATGCTCCAAGGATATTACCCACTGATGCACAGGCACTCCAGAGTCCAAAAACAAATCCTCTCCTGAATGTGAAATTAAAAAAAAAAAAAAGTTGGGTAATAACTCGGAGTCAAGCAAAAAAAAAATACCTAAAGCAGTTAGTCCCTTTTAACAATTTGAACAAGGCAGTTAAAAGACGAATGGAAATAGATGAAAGCATTTTATATTGACTCGTCAAAAAAACATTTTAAAATTCACTTCCCTCAAACAATACTGCATGCACGAGTTCAGTTTTACAAGTTAATTTATTAGGACTTTCACAACATTGCTACTATAAAGGAGCCAGGGTGGTGCCGTGGTTAGAATGCAATATTGCAGGCTAATTCTGCTGACTGACAATTGCCGGCAGTTCGAGTCTCACCAGCTCAAGGTTGACTCAGCCTTCCATCTTTCCGACATCAGTAAAATAAGGACCCAGATTGTTGGGGGCAATATGTTGGTTCTGTAAACTGCTTAGAACGGGCCGTAAAGAACTGTGAAGCGGTATATAAGTCTAAGTGCTATGGCTATTGCTGTAAAAAGTTACAGCATAAAAAGTGAAGAACTTTCTAATGGAAAGCTTCTGATACCAAGCACCTCAAAGTACTCTGGGCAGGATGGTACAGCAAGTATGTTATCATGCTGTGTGTGTCTTGTCTGTTTGAGCATACACACTTTTCAGACCCAGAAAAGGACAACTGAAAATAACGGATTTAAGAATTACAGAAGAATAAGAAGCCATCGTTTAGATTAAAAAAAAAAATTGAATAACTGAAATGCATTTATTTGATTTAAAAAGCAAATATGTAAAATAACATATGCTGTATGAAAAAAGAAAATTCTACCCAAAAATTAAAAGACGTAACATAACCGGAGGATGATGCGCAGCATGTAGCTAGATCTTAATGTACAGAGATAGTCTATGCATGACAAGAATATACAGATACGTTTTTCTGATCACTCATGATCCTAGAGGTAAGCGATTAAGAAAAGAAGAAGAGATACGAGACACAGTGGCTTTGAAGCCATAGATAGCACCCTGCATTTAGTTGCTCTTCAGGTAGCTATTTCTAAACATTCTGGAACAGCAGGCTCTACGGGTGATTGCTCATGCTCCTGTTCTCTCCCAGTCACATTCACATTCACCTATCCAGATCATCCAGAAACTTCAACTTGAATAGCAGTTCTCATGTTCAATGGCCAGCTTTGGTACTGCCAAGTTGTATCACTTCTGCGCGAGGTGCTTGAGTGTTTCTGAATGCAATTCAAGATGCTGGCTGATACTTTTAAAATCTGAAATGGTTCCGAGCCTGAGCATCGAAGATACCACCTTTCTCATATGGATTCCTTCCAATCAGCTCAAGTAGCCAGAGGGGCCTTATCTAACAGAGGCCGAGGAGAGTGGGCTCAACAGTTAACCTTCTCAACAGCAGTTCCTCTCCTAAGGAATAGCTTGTCCCCTGACATAAGGATAGTTCTTACACATATTCATAGAGATATTTTCTTGCTTATTTATCACATTAGCATGCAAGACATACTTCTGTTGTAATCCTTTATATTCTTAATAGTATGCTATCTGTTGCTGCTATCATAACATCTGTAAACCTAGAGTCCGTGAGACAGTAATAAACCTTATACTTAAATAATCGAACACTAGCAGCCAAATCCTTGCTAAATATTACTGCTTCTTTTCTAAAAGGACAACCAGCCTTTGTCCTTATAAATAGGATAAAGTAAAATTTCACATTTTCACCTTGGCAGGAACGCAGCTCAACCAACTATGATCAATCACATGGCCAGGACTAGTGTGTTCAGTAAACAAAACAATGTGGACACACAGGCAACACGTTTAACAGGAAGAGGAACATTGCACAATAACCACACAGAGGAGAGGAAAGCCGCTAAAAAAATATGTGCAAGGGAGAGAAATTTTTTTTTGCATACCCAGCTTTGCCAAACCAGTTTCCCATGACAGCTACCACACAGGGCCAGCCCGTGGACTGCAGCAAGCCATTCACAATCCACAGGCAGCAGTAGAACCACTTGTTGTAGAAATGCAGCCATTCGGTGACGGTGCCAAACACAAACACCTAAAAAACAACAAGAAGAAGAAAATGTAGTGTTGATCCCGAATTAGTCTGGCAAATATATCCATAATGCTTTCTAGCCATACTCTATATTATTTATAGGCTACAAGTTAAGATCTATCTGGGCACCTTGAAATTATTCTAACTCATTACAGGAAATAGCTATTCACAATTCTGGGGATAGCAGCCAAATGCGTTCTGAGACTGTAAGGCAGAAGGGAAAATCATCCATAATTTAAATAAGGCCTGGCTTAAAAGAAAGAAGGAATTTCACTCACATGGTACTCGTTAATAACTTAGGCATTTAAAAACAACATATCTAATTACTACAGCAAGAAAACTTATTTTAGTAATTTTTTCCTATGTCTGTTACCAAACAGAAAACTGCATTTTTCCAAGCACAAGCTTCAGCGTACAGAACTTGCACATTATTAATTTTAAAAAAATTAAAATTACCCCACACAATAACAACTATACTTTGCAATAAAATGGATTCAACAAGAAGTATCCTAGTCCATTTCCTGTTTTTGCTCTGAAAAAAAAATTTAACAAGCTGAAATCTCAAGAATATTTTATCAAATGAATGAATCATTCGGCTATGAAATGCAATCTCCAGCACTGATACATCAAAATGTTCGGTCCATGGATTCTTTTATAAAGCTGAAGTTCCTACTGAGTTTCTTGAATGTAATATCTTCATTTACTTAGAAGTGATTTCTGAGGAAACTGTTACAGATATTCAAAGTCAAACATTACCCAGGACAGCATACTTTCCCAACTTTAATTTTCCAACTTACCACTAAGGCAGAGGAGCACATCCCAAATGCCAGAACCCAGCGCATGTTCAAACGATCCCCAATAATACCACTAACAAACAGGCCCTAAAATAATAATAATAAAAATCGTTATTCAGTAAGAATCAGCTGAAGAAAGTTGTGATAGTCAATAAAACTATTATTCTTTTTAAGGTCATATTTGTCATAAAGTTGTACAATTCAGATGAGGCTGATTTCAAGCCTGTAAAATTAATAACTAAACTATGCAATATCTTGCCTTCCATTGAGCCAGTGTCAGAATGCAGTATTGCAGGCTACTTCTGCTGCCTGCCGGCTGCCTGCAGTTTTGCAGTTCGATTCTGAGATTGACTCGGCTTTCCATCCTTCCAGGGCTGGTAAAATGAGGACCCAGATTGTTGGGGGGGGGGGGAAATATGCACTCTGTAAACCACTTAGAAGCACTGTGAAATGGTATACAAGTTTAAGTGCTATTGCTATTGGAACGACACAGATCCTGTCACCTCTGAGAGAAGGATGCTAAAATCTGAGAAAAATAGCAGCAGGGAAAAAATTGCTGAAGGAACAATTTTTCACATTTCATGTGTTCTGAGAACATGATCACCAGCACACACAAAAAAGGAAAATACCTCATAACTGTAAAATGTTTGGCAGCCGGGGGGGAGGCGGGGGGGCGGGGGGAATGAGGCAATATATGATTTTGCCCGCTTGAAAGATGCATTAAGATTTTTATATAAGATAATGAGAGAACTCAAAAATTACTGTTCCTGTAGATTACTATAGATTTTTCAAAACGGATACCTATCCAAAATAGGAGTCTGTCCTCCTGGCAGCAAATGGTGGAGTCGTAACCAATTTGGTGTATGGTTAAGTTGTTGGATTGAACAAGTGAGACAACTTCAAATCCATGTTCTGTTGTGAAAACTCACTGGGATTGTTATTGTGGGAACAAAAGGAGGAAAGAGCACTGGGTATGCGTCCTGAATAAAAAGTGGGATATAAACTAGCAAATAAATAAGCTCATCTAGAAGGAATGGATCAGGAAAGGCTGCTGCAGACAGCCTAGAGATTGCTGCTCTCTTTTCATGTCTGTTTTTTTTTTTTAGCACAGCCTAAGAAATCAATACTGTACCATTTTGTTATACTCAAAGACTATGCAATATTAACTAGATTTTGGCTGGATTCACATATGGTAGTATGCTATAAAATGGTTTCTTTGGCTCTGGCATATTGTGTGATGGAAACCTAACAACTGCACAAGCCCTGTTTTGTAGTTCAATGTGTTACACAAAGCTAATCCGTTGCAGTGTATTGAGCAAACTATGATGAAACAACCTGGGGTTTGATAATAAGAAACTAATAATAAGAGGGGCTAATAAGAAACAATAAATATAGCAGGATCCAATCTGGGTCGGTCAGGGTGCTTTTCTCTCACCATAATGTGAGAGAGAAGTTCTCTGAGGATGGGATCCAGCATGAGTCCAAAAGCTCAGAATATTAAACCTCTGGTCCCAGTGACTGACCCGAACTGGAGCCTGCAACATTATCTTGGGACAACATATTTGCCTTCTTTTGTGACAATAACTATGCCAGCTTTCTAATAAAGTTTTCTAATGTCATGGAACCTTTGCTCAGTGGTTAAAGCATGCGAATGATCCAATTTTCAATTATTTCTTTGTAAAGCTAAGAAAGGGTTAATCCAGCTCCCATCAATTCTAGCAATGCAGAATCTTCTAGGCTGAAGTCCAGCTGCCATCAATCCCAGCCACTGTGTGTCTAATAGTGAAAGGTGATGGATGGAAAAACACCTGGAGAGCTTGGTAGATGATAGTGAGCCGCATAGATTGATGCTAATCTACATCAAGTTGTCCTATAAAATTATACGCTATATTGAATCTGATGGATTTAATCTTCCTCTTTCTTCAAAATTCAAGAACTATTCAAAGAAGGAGAATTTGCTCACCACAGCATAAGAAAACAGGAAGATGGTATCCAATGTTCCAAGAAATAATGTAGCTTCTTCAGCATTAGGAAATAGATGACTGCTGTTCCAAAGCTACGAGGAAAAGTCAGAATACTATAAAATGAGATGGCAAATATGTAGCTAATACAACATAGCCCCATAAATATTAAACAATGCCCCACTTAATGTCTTTAGTCCCTGGTTATTTCTGAAGCCATGTAATCCAAATCATCACACTAAAGGCTAGGAGATGAAGTGTTAATTTTATCATCCCACTCAAGCTATTTAAGACACACAGAAACACACCAATCCTGACTCATCATATTCATAGTAATTTCAAGTAAAACAGAATTTAAAAAGATCCCTCTCTAGTTTCATTTCTCCAAAATTGAAAGATTTCTAGTTTCTGAAACAGAGAAGTTTCTTCGGTAAGAACTAGGTCTGTCTGGGTTTCTTCCTGTTATCTCAGTTGTATCCAAGTAAAGATCTTCATTAACTAATTTGCTAGACAGAACTTCACCGGAACTTGACCATTTCTCATGAATGATGAGTCAGGCTATCTTGCAAAGTGAAAAGAAGAAAGCCTGAAAACACTGAAACTGGGATATCTAATTTACAGTCCTTTAATTCTCATAGGACCACCTCTTAACCAGTAATCAGGGAGCATAGCAGCTTGCCCTGCTTCTTCTTATTAATGGAAAACGCCAGTGTTTACAGAGTAAAGAATACTCCTAGAGAGCATATCACTAGAAAAAGAAGACATCACACAATTCCCTTTCCCCTGGTTTGCCGAAGCTATCTAGCACCAATCCTCAGTAAATATTTAATGGAGACAAGATTACCTCTGAATGCCTGTGTGTGTGTGTGTGTGTGTGTGTGTGTGTATAAATATAAATATAAAAATCCAGCATGATATCAGTCTAATGAGTTCGGATCTTGAAAGCCAGTTCTTCACATTAGAGATGTAAGAAAGAGAATTAATGACTTTCACGCTCATGCTGCATTACAATCCCCACAAGCCACAGATAAAAAGACCAGATACTTTTTCCTGCTTTTGATTTCTATTCCCTGAAGCCAATGTAATATCTAGAAATTTGCAGGTTACGTGTGTCTAGAATATAGATCAGACCAAGAAACGAACTCCACATTAAGATCGTATAAGCCTACTTAACTCAATGTTTCTCAACCTTGGCCACATGAAGATGTGGGGGGGGGGGATTCAACTCCCCAGAATGCTGGCTGGGGAATTCTGGGGGTTGAAGCCCACCTATCTTCAAGTGGCCAAGGTTGAAAAACACTGGTTTATCTCTTCCTAATATAAATTAAAGAGAGATCTACCTGTTTTTTGGTGTGGGTTTTTTTTTTTTTGCATTCCTCCTTCATTGTTTGGGCTTAAGCAACATTTCCCTCGTTATTATATTAATAAAACTTCCTCTCACTCCATCAAAGCCATCCTCTTTTCTTTCTACATCATAGATCTGGAAGGGGATGCCTTTTCTTTCCAGCAGACCCTTCTTCTAAGCCCCACAACTACACATCAGTGAAGAAATACAACAGACTACCACAATTCTGACTGAATGTTGTGGCACTCCTAGCCTGGCCAATTGAAGAGTTTATCAAAGTGTCTTGCCTTCGCTAAATGCTATAAAATACTAGGGGATAATTTGGATTTTTCTTGCCAGAAGCTCAAGATGACAAAATTCATTGAAACCCTCTAAAATCATGCAAGCACAAGGATAGATAGGCAATTATATGGTCCTGTACACAAGGAGGTTTTTTTTTAATCCCCTTTTAAAACAATACAAAATACTAGCCATAGAGTGGAATGTGTTGTGAAAATCAGGAAGAATATGAGAATAAACTCCTAGCCTTTGAATTTTAATCTGATTTATTTTCACAACTTGATTTTAAGCTACGCTTTTCTTCATGCATTTATGTTTTTTTAATGTTGTTGTAAACCAGAATCACTTAGGTGGGATGGACAGTATAGAAATTTAATAAATACACAAACAACAATGGTGACTCTAAATAAGCTACATACTAGGCTTTATTCAAATTATGCAGTAGAGGTAGTCCTCAACCTACGACCATAACTGAGCCCAGAATTTCTGTTGCTAAGTGAGACAGTTGTTAATTGAGTCCTCAGTGAACCATCATTAATTCTCATCACTCCTTGTTGTATTTCTTCAATGCAGAGGCAGGAATCCTTCCGTTTGCAAAGCCTATAGAATCCTCCTCAGTCCTTGAGACTTGTGGCAGCTGCTCTTTAGGGATCTCCAAACATCTCAACAACAAAACTCTGGAATCTATTCTGAAGCTCCAGACTATAAAAGAGTATAAGAGTTCTTCCAAACATTAGGGTTTCATATCACATTACATGCTTCTATCATGTCACTTCTTGATGCCTAATTTAAGATTTCTCTTCTTTCCTAAAGAGAGGTTTAGCCTCTGTCTTTTCATGTCCAAGATAGCCTGCACAGATAGCGAAGATAATTCTTGCCATCTCCAAATACCCTTCCACGTCCTAAGGCCAGTTCCTTTGACCTTTGTGTTACTCTGATGAAGAAGAAACAATTTCAAGAAGTCTTCCTTCCTTGATTTTCCTCAGCAAGCTCTTTTGGCTTGCTTGTTCTGTAGGCCAACCCTCTGGGGAGATGTTAACTTGAGCAGGGCTTTAAAAAAATCAGTAAACATAAACACCCTTACCTCGTATGGTTGAAGAATGAAGGCAGAGTCATTAAAGCAAGAGGGGGTCCATTGGCTGGAGATGCTGACCTTGACATTGCTAAAGGTCTTTCGGGAAGCATGGAGAAGAGAGTAGCTAGGAATTTTAAAAAGAAGAATTTAGTACAGTACTGTCTTATGTCTAAAGATATTTTTATCCATGTAGTAGGGCTAATCACTATTATCCCTCTCATTTTATCCTACTATCTTCTCCTATTGATATCTTATGATTATATTACTTTGTTGTTTGTAAGTACACTGAGATCTTATATACTGGAGACAAAGTCATTGTGTGTCCAATCACCCTTGTTCAATAAAGTATTCTAATTTAATACAGTATTCTAATCATAGCACATTGTGAATTTTCTTCTTTATGGTCTCTATTGAATGGCATTGCCTAGCTCAGGGGTCCCCAAACTTGGCAACTTTAAGACTTGTGGACTTCAATTCCCAGAATTTTCTAGCTAGCTATGCTGGCTGGAGAATTCTGGAAGCTGAAGTCCACAAGTCTTAAAATTGTCAATTGGGAGACCTCTGGCCTACCTTATTAATGTAACCCATGCCAGAAACACTGTAATATCATTTACATTAGCTATGCTGTTGGGTCTAATGGATACCATAGTATGAGGGACATTCACAAAGGGCCTTAGGGATCAGACCAGATACCTATCTAAATACAGCATTCTGTTTTCCTTATCAACTAGATAGCTATAATTGGTAGACTTATCTTTCAGAAATTAAAAAACAGGTGAGATACAAGTATAGTTGATGAGAAGCTTGTATGTAACATTTGTTCTGCATCAACATATTGATTCTACCATATAAAAGGAAACTTTTAGTGCTCTATTTTCATCCAGGTCGCGCAAGAATTCAGATGAGTCCATGCAGTTTCAGCTACAATCACCTACCTGAAGAAAGTGAGGAGGAACACGGCAACATGATGATGTGTGAACTGTGACACAAGGCTTTTGTTGGTAGACTGCCTCCTCTGAGTAATAGGCATAGCTCCCTTTCAGGTTTCTCCAACTTCTTCCCCCAGTTTTCTTTGCCCCCAAAGGCTGGAATGTAAATTATGTCATTTCTCTTCACCTTTAAAAAATAAAATACAAGCAAAATAAGATCAAGGAATTTTGAAACAGCAAAGCACAAAAATTTTAAGTCCTAATTTTAAGCAAATGTATTCAATCACATCCATGTGCACATATAATCTATTTGAAATAACAGGGAAATTAATGTTTCACATTTCCTGACATTTCAGAAGGAATTTTAAAAATGAATGGTTAGATGTCTGTATTACTGGAGACGCATTTGGGAAATTGGTACATTAACTTATATGGTTTTGGTTTGTTTTACTACTGCTAATATTAGACTGAAACTCATAAAAATATTGACATGATTTTGCAAATGCTGATGATCCAACATACATGATCCCCTATAAAATATTATACCTGCTTACCTCTTATCTTTTTGGTGGGATTTAAAATGCAAAATTCTTACAGTGGCTTAAAAGTTCTTGAACAAAGGTAGCTTGTTCCCTTTTAGGTTTTTTTTTTGTGTGTGTGTGTAGGGGGAAATTAAACACCTCTAAGGGGCAACATGGCGAAGACTTTAATCTCTCTAAATTGAAAAGAGTCCCATATTCTCAGCTCTGCTGTCTCTAGAAATCACATACACCCTACTTATAGATTATAGGTTGCTCAGGTCTTCTTGCCTAGTCTTATCCTGACTGCCATAGCTCCAAAAGCCTTTCTTGAACATGCAGTGATTGAACTTGGAACTTTCTCGTGTGAAGTCTATGTTCCAGAAGGAAGCTATGCCCTCTTCCCTTGTGTACTTCATGCTAATTTTGCATCATAAGAAGGTTATGGGGACTCCCTCTCAATTTTACAATATTCACTCAGTAGGTCATTTACAGAGAATAAAAGAAGCACTTAGCTGCTAGCTATTGTTCAATTCTTCAAGCATAGCACATTAATTAGAACATACTGCTATGTTTTCCAGGTTACAGTATATGTGTCCCTTGTTACAGGTTTCACTAACTGCATGAAACCTGATTATTTCTAAGTCAGGAATTCACTATTGGAGAACTCTGAAGGGTCTGCTAGGACTTGCTGGATACTCTGGGGGTAAGAGTAGATAAACACCTAAGGTATGGCAATATGCTGACTACTATTCTTCCTGTGGTTTATCAGTACTTATCTTATCTATCCTTTATCTGGCTAATTTTCTTAGGAACCAGGAGAGGGAAGGGACAAAGAAAATTATCTGCTAAGTCGAAAGATAAGATAAAAGGTAAGTAGCAGTCTACAGATAGAGGGTCCTCTTATATGCATACTTTAATTTGTAAACTCCAGTTGTTTATGAATACAAAATCTCTGCATTTCTCAATCAGGATAGCAAAACTGTTGTCACATGATGGAAATCATCAGTAGCGACTCTCCTTCCAAGGATACACATTCACATGTGCATAATGAACCAAGAAGTGGCAATCCCTGGTGGCAATTCTTCCTATAACTGTACATTTGGCATTAGAAAATGATCCAATCTCTACTCCCTGAAAAGGAAGTTTTAAATTCTCATCGACATACATGCAATTTTCCTTTATCAACAATTAGGACCCTCAATTCAATTGTTAAGTGTAGCAGTCGCATTAAGTGAAATTGTCTATGCACTTATTTCAGCTTTCCTTTGTTTTACAGACCTGCAAAGTTCAGCGGAGATTGGTCATAAAGTTACTTTTATATTATCTTTAACATTTTCATCACTGTTTTAACTGCAAAAAGTCACCAAACAAGGTGATTGTGTTAGATTTGCCATCTTTCTTTTAGAATTCTACAGAGAAGATAATGAGATGTAATCAAGGAACTATGCAATTCAAGGAATGTATCTGGTATTGTAACAAATCAGTATTCCTTCAGCATGTCCTATCCCATCTTTTAAAAAAATAGAATTCCACATTGTACCTTATACTTGTAAAGATAGCTGACATTATGTATGTTGGGGGATTTGCATACATGAAATTATTATTAGATCTTAATCTTTCCTCCAGGATCTCAAAATGGCATATATAATGCTCCCTGATCCACATATTTCTTTGACAACAACCTTATGAGATGGGGGGGTGGGGGTGGGGGTGGAGGCAACCTTAGAGAACCTCAAAATGGTAAGTTAATGATTGGTACTTAGCCTGATTAATACTCAGGTTGAAGACTATCACAAAATCCAAAGGCTGAAAGTTTCTTAAAAAAACACAGGAATAGCAAATCATTTTCAAATCTTTCCCAAGAAATATATAAAGGCATGTCTTATTAGTGAGGAAGAAAACAATTAATGTTCAATTGAACTTAACATTTTGGATGGCAGCATCTATCACAAAGTTCTGTGCCATTAGAACTAATTTAATCATGGACAATGAGAATTTTCATCAGATAGCATCAATTATACAGTCACTTCTGACATTTTCTGATTAAGTACCATGCAATTAAGGAACAAAAAACATTGATTAGAGATATTTTTGTGCCCAGTTATTGAAAGGACTATATTTTTGCAGCATTTAAAGCCCTCAATAATTATCTGTAAAGGTACTATGTGCAACATCCCTGATCAAATTGATCAACACATTCTACTGCAGTGTATAATTCCATAGTCCAAGGAGAAAAAAACAGAAAACAAATAATCAGAATCTCTTAAACAGATTGAATATATTGCAGGTACAAACACTTTTAATTCCAGAAATTCGCAGTCACATTCCCAAAGGAATTTCAAGAAAGGACAGAAAGGTATTTTCCAGTTTGAGAAGTGTGCGATTTGTAAATGGATTTATTTTATGAACCCCATTAACAATCATGCCAGTGTTTGAATATCATATTTTCACATTACCTCTAGGATTAGAATAAAGCTAACTTCAAGATTCTTCCAAACATACCTTCGAAATCTAGGCTTGCAATTATGACTTGCTCTGGGAGGCAGTTTTGACTTTGCCTCAAGCACTGTTAACCCAGATGTCGATAAAACATAAATGATCTCTAAAATCATAGGAAAAACCAAGTCCATGCTAGTTCATCAGCAAATGGTGAAATTAAGATTACATCCACAGGAAATATAAACTAAATAATAAATTCCTGGCTACAGTTTTAAATGCAGATCATTTGGAAAAGGCATTCTTGTACTGTGTTAAGTCGGTTTGGAGAGAAATCTTCTTATATTTGTGCCAAGATTTTTCTTATATCCCCAAGGTTTTAAGCCACTCGTTTGTGTGTGTATTTCTCTCTATATAGAGAGAGAGAAAAAGAAGAAAAAACCCAAGGTTTTAAACCACGCATGCACACCCACATCCACACTCATTTAAGAGAAAGAAAGAAAGAAAGAAAGGTATGCAGTGAGCCCTTGATCAAGGTTTTGCAACGACGGGGAAGATGTCCCTAGTTCAACTGCTACGTGGCAGAAAGTTGCCGTCCAAGGCACCGCGGTGACAGACAAGAGCAGAAAGCGCAAGCCGCGGAATCAGCGGGCGAATCTCGGAGGAATCGGGCCATCCTTGAAAATAAAGCGGGAGGGAAGCATGGGAGCCCACTTGGCATGCCCATGCTGCAAACCAACCCAGTTAACACGGTATCGAGCAAAGATGCGAGGCAGCCGCCCACTCGCGCTCTAATCGCCCCATCTGTCGCGGGATAGCCGCTCCTCATCCCGCGCCGACAAAGCCACCCCGCGCTCCCCATTCCACCGCCTTAATTACAGCCCCCCCCCCGAACCTCCACGCAAACACCGCTCACCTGTCCGCATTTCCAAGGCAACTTCCTGGAAGTCACATGACCTCCGCCTCTTCCGAGCTCGCGCTCCACTTCTCCCTCCCGCCTTTTCCCCCCTCTCCCCCCGCCACCTCGTTTCGTCTCCCTTTCCTCGTGGTGCACTCTGGGAATTGCAGTCCCCTGGAATTCTCAATGCACCTCCGAACTAGTCCTGCCCCGGAGCCCGAAGGAAAAAGGGTAAACGGGCTGCTAACAAGGGAGCTCGTGGTTTTCGGTAGCGCGACCGAAATGGGAGGCCGTACGACGCAGGCTGTGCCGGCTTATTTCTAGAGGAGCGCTACCGAGCAATAGGTTCTTTGCTTCTGAGTAAACGTGAATACGACCGGGCTGTTTTCAGACTTGCAATCCACTGAGTTGCACTGCAAAGCTAAACTCCGGCGATGACTGAGTGCTGGTTCCAGTGTGTGCTGGGCTTCCTTCGAGTCCCCGTAATTTTCTCGATAAGATTTCATGAGTGGTTTGCCACGTCCTCTTTTCTAAGGCTGAGAGAGAGAGGGATTCATTGGCCCAAGCAGGGCCGTCTTAACAGCATTATGGGTCCCGGGCAAAGCAGTGTACTGGGGCCCCTACGAGGACTACTCACAGGAATAAAAATGCAAATAGTCGATAAAATTAAACATATACTTATTGTATTGGCACGTCTAACAAAATCGAATCAGTGTTAATTTCTATTAATGCATGTTAGTATTAATAAAATGCAGTAAAATGTAATATGTTGCTGTGTTTATATGATAAAAGGTGCATTGAAGGATTAACAAACAGATTAGTATGGGGCCCCTATGCTCATGGGCCCCAAGGGCAAGTGCCCATCAGTCCATGCATTAAGACAGATCTGGGCCCTGATTTCTAGGCTGGTGCCTTAACCACTTCACCAAACTGGCTCTAGGTTTCAGTTTAGTGGGAAGTAATTCATATTTAAATCATACATGTGCCGAGAGTAAACAGAAATAAATTGGGCTTCGGTTTCACTGACTACACCAGATTATTAGCCTGTCATCCCAAACTAACCTCTGACACATTTGAACTGAGGTGTGTCAAAAAACCCTTCAAAAAGTAATTTCAGACATCACTACATCTCCATGTCTGCTGAAGGCAGTTCTGTAAGATACCTCTTATCAGAACTTATCATATGTGGGTCAACTATTTTTGCCCTATATTGTTCTCACTGACTAGCAACAGTTTTCCAGTTCAGAGCACAATTTTTTTTTGTATCTAGAGGTTCTTGGATTTGTGTGTGTGTGAACTCTGAAAATACTTAAGGTGTATTCTTTCTAACCTGATACATGCCCTATACCAGGGATGTCAAACTCAAAATCCGCAGGCCAGATCCAGCCCACGAAGGTACTTAGATCTGGCCCATGGGGCCACCCCGGAAACAGTGAAGGATTGGCCCACGGTCCCTCTGCCAGTGAAAACAGCTTGGGAGGGCCTCGGGTTCCATTTTCATTGGCAGGGGGTTGAAAACGCAGCTGAAAACGGAGCTCGGGAGCCCATTTTCACTGACAGAGCATTAGGGCCACCACAGGCGCCCCTGACATAAGTGACGTCGAGCTGGCCACACCTACCCTAGCCTCCCAAGGTCAAACACAACCCTGATGTGGCCCTCAATGAAATCAAGTTTGACACCCCTGCCCTATAGGAGGATCTCTTTGTGTGCATTCCCTTGCCATGTTCCTGCAGTTTTCTTGGCAAGGTTTTCAGAAGCAGTTTGCCATTGCCGCCGCCTTCCTAGGGCTGAAAGAATAACTAGGCCAAGGTCGCCTAGAATGACTTTGTGCCTAAGGCAGGACTAGAACTCATGGTCTCCCCTTTCTAGACTAGTGCCTAGACTAGTAACTATAACACCAAACTGGCTCTCGTAGGAGCTATACTGTAGTGTAATGAGAAAAGGCAAGCTATAGATTGCTGAGGTCTTTACCAATAAGAAAAGGAGAATAATGACTGAATAGATAATTACTGGGAAATAGCGATCAATTCCTACCTGCCACTAACTGAAATCTACTTGTATGAGAGAATTTTAATCTGTATAAGTAAAAGCCTCACGCTAGAGGGGATATCTTCATTACTTTTTCAATTCCAGAGAGTTGTGGGAGGTTCTATGTTTCTAAAAGGGGTAAAATGGCAGAAGTTTCACAGGTATAGCTTTTCCTGCCAGAGATGCAGTAATGGGAATAGCTTCTCCTGCCACCAGACAATTCTAATTGCCAAATTACATCTCTTATGGGTATGACATTCATGTATTTAAAAGCTAAATCCTGGTTTTACCATGTCAACTTTTAAAAGTGCACTTTCCCCATGTATTTTCAACAGCTAGAGGACAGGAAGGAAATAGATAGCAAAAGAATGCCTGTTTAACTTCTACATGTCACGTTACTTAGGGGATTAAAGCACCAAGGCATTACAAATGGGATAGCTGTAAGCCCATATCCTTAATGCATAAAATACTGATAACAGAAAAACCCTCAAGTGTGTGGAAGAAATGGAAATACATAAACAGATTTTGTTGCAAAGTTTGAACAATTATTTTCTTAGAGCCACTAGAATAGGGCTATCAAACTCGTGGCTTGATGTGGCTATGCCCATGCTCAGTTTAGCAAAGGGGAAAAGTCGTGATACGTCACGTGATGATGCCATGACGATGCGAGTTTGACACCCCTGCAGTAGAACAAAATCGTTGATGGTTGGCTCTTTTTAAGAAGCCTGGAGAACTTTATTCTTGCATTAAAGGAAAAAAATAAAAAGAACAGTTTGCAGAAATTCAGTATTTCAAGTTTTACATTGGTAACTTTATGTACTATTTGCAACTATGTGAATTTGCAACTATGTGAATGCCAATATTATACACTAGTCTTATCCTGAAACCAATATCTATCCACATATAATTGATATCACATATTATGGGATCCTACAAGCAGATCTGCTTGTAAGAGCATAGTCCTGTTACTCTATGGTAGTAAAAACAAAACAAACAAAAAACAAAAACTACCCAAAGTCTGGGATCATCTTTTACAACTCACACATTTTATTAAAAGCATAGGGTTTCATGATTTGCAGCTCACTTCATCAGTTGTTCATGCTTATGCCTTTTCATAAAATTTATTAGCTGGAAAAGATATACACCTGCTGACATTTTTATTATAATTAATAAATGTATTTAGAAAGAGTTGAACTGGATTATTTAATCCAGGTTGGCATCTAATAAAGGTTTGGCACTGAGATTTTACTTTTAGGATATCTGACTTGAAGTTTGCTTCTCCTTTTCCGTTTAGAATTTCAAATATATATTCAAAATTAGCACATAGAATGTTAAGCTTCTTAACAAAATTACCATAATTTAATTAATGCAGCAGCTCTTGTGTCTCTATGCTTAGTCTCTTTCAAAAGTGTGTGCTATATTATTATGTAATGCAATTCTTTGTATATTTATTTACAAGAAACCCCATGCAATTCAGCAGGATTTACTCATATGTAAGGACATGCCAGCTTGTATTTTCTGCCTTGTGTCACCTGAGGATATACACATAATAAGCATGCAATAAGGCAACATTTCCTTTGCAGACATAGTAAAGTTTAAATGAGGAAGTTTTTTTTTCCCTGGTTAATCCCGGTTCTAATCTGGTAACGTTTCTTTTATGTGGTGTTTCTTTAAAAAAAAAACAAGGTTTGAATGGGTCAGGTTCATTTCACCAGCAGGAGACCGAAAGACGCTGAATTTATGGAACTACATTTCCCATCAGGCGGTAAGAAAACTAGAAAAGGTGGGAGGAGAATAGAAAGAAAGCTGTACCTGTTCATGCAGGTAAGACAAAAGGGTGAATAAGGGGTGAATTGGTGCTTAAAGAAGCAAGAATTCTTGTGCTTTGGGATATAACTTGAGTACTTAAAGTTTTACTTTGTTGTTGATATTTGTTGGGTTTTGCGGGGGAAATTTTTTCGTAAAAGCAGGTTGCCGAAAACAGGAAAGGTAGAAAAAGGAAACAAGGATCGTTTCGATAGTTAAGATCTGTTGATAATGGGAAACGGTCTGCTGTGTTTATTTCTGGCTGGCTAGAGACTGAAGTCAGTAAGTATATATTGTATATATCAGCATATGACAAACCTACAAAAGAAAGACTCCGGAAGGAAAGAAGTGAAAACCTATTCTCTTTTTCTGCCCTTAATGGTGATTTATGTTTGTGCCCTTTTAACCAGCTGTCTTTTACACAGGCAAAAATTTTACCGAAGTATGGAGTAAGCAAGAAAGCAATCTCTATTTTCCAAAACTTTGAAGAATAAACTATCTGTTTGGATAGGTATTGCAGCTATGCAGTAAATGTTGTTATTCAGAGGCCAGCATGGTTTGCTTTTTATTTGGCTTAATGTACTATTTATTTAGCTGTGGGAGGAGTATCTTTTTAAAAAGTTCTAGAAGCTCAAGCAGTTGCAGCTCAATTGTATCTGATAATTAAATAGTTAAATTGCTTGCTGTATCGCCATCAAAAGCTTGGGTAAGAGACAATCTAATCTTACATTCAGCGCTCAAATGATTAGAGGAAAGATAGTCATTTTTGTGAAACTTTCTATCTGATTTCCCCATTTTAACCACTTGTGGTTTCCCAATATTCTTTTAATAAGCTTCTCATATCCAAGCATCTAACCACAATCAACTCAGGTAGGGATAGACAGCTTAGGACCCACAACCAACTTTGGTGTAGCATCGCTGGTTTTCTTTTCAGAATGCCTTTCCAATAATACCCCATATTCATCAAGTAAAAATGATGAGTCACAGTGGTTAAATACTTTTAATTCACAACGTGTCAAAGTAGACTCAAGTGTGTGCTAAGGGGATAGAGAATGTGACGGGAAATAACCAGGTGTGGATTCAATTTTTTTTAACGACCGGTTCTGTGGGCATGGCTTAGGTGGTGGGCATGGCTTGGTGGTCATGTTATTGGCTGGGTGTGGCCAACTCAATATCACTCACATCGAGGCACACATCTCCTTGCCTGGCCTCTCATGACTGTGGGGATGCTGCAACAGTCGTAAGTGTGAAAAATGGTCATCAGTCACTTTTTTCAGTGCCATTGTAACTTTGAATGGTCACCCCACACAAGCAAAGTACCAGCAAAGGAAGGAAAAAAACTCCAGAGAAGTTCCTGAGACAGGAAGTCTAATCCTGCCAAGAATGTAATAAGGGTTAACGGAGAGGCCGTTTTTGTAAGCAACACAATGTTTCCTTTCTGCCTTCTTTACAGGATTCGGCCAGTGATTTCTTCTAACAACTGGTTCTCCAAACTGCTTAGAATGTTAACAACCGGTTCTAGCAAATAGGTGCAAACTGGTAGAATCCCACCCCTGGAAATAACTTTACCTATTAGCTTTCTGGTCAATATGTTTTTTCCTGATGAGGCCATTTTTCTACTGTGATTGTATAAGCCTTAATTGGCTACCATTTTTGAGCATTTTTGATGGCCTAAATTTGCCCACTGTGGCCACCAATTGAAAAGATCTTCCAACTCTAACAGAGTTGGAAGGGACCTTGAAGGTCTTCTAGTCCAACCCTTTGCCTATGTAAGAAACTATCATTTCAGACAAATGTTTGTCTAATCTCCAGTGATGGAACAAACACCCACAGCTTCTAGAGGCAAGTTGTTCCACCAAGTACTTGTTGTGTCAGGAAATTTCTCCTTAGTTCTAGGTTGGTTCTGTCCTTGATTAGTTTCCATCCGTTGCTTCTTGTCCTGCCTTCAAGTGCTTTGGAGAATAGGTTGACCCCCTAACTCTGCAGTACTGATGCAACATCTGACTGAAAGTGGATTACCATTCTTCTATTACATGTTGAGATGGAGGTATTGAGAGCAGATGCTTACACACCTCATAGTAACTGGCTGTAGCTTGCAGACAGGATTCTTATAATATGTTTTAAGTAGGACCACAGTATTAGTTGGTCCCAAATAGCATTGCAGTCTCTGGCTGAGTATAAGTGTTTTTAAACAGAGTGTCCACAGTGCTACAGGAAACCTTAAGGAACAGCATCTGTTCTTTTGATTCTGATGTGTAGGCAGGGAAAGAAAAAGGGAAGCAGTTGTGCAAAATCAGAGGTTGGCTACAGAGTTAACAAGTGAATAATATCTCAGCTTTCTAAATATCTGAGGTAGAATGATTGTACGGTATCTCTGTGGATGCACTCTGTCACTTTGATCTTGTTCAGTCCTCCAAGGTCAGTCAACAGAGTTACCTTCACCTTCCCTTTTAAGGTTTTGTGATTCTCTATAATGCAGACCAGAGTCTGTTTCCTTTAAAGAGCTACAGGCAAGCAACTATTTCTTACCACTTACAGAAGCGAAAGCCAAATAGACAATAAAAGAATCTCTAGGACCACTTTTCTGATTGGTTAATTATATTGGCCAATAATAACTAACAATAGCAGCAGCATTAGGGCCTTTTAAACTTTTCATTATCTTGCTATTGCACTCCAAATAAAGTATTTTTGAGTTATCTTTCTCAAAGATCTTTCCCTATTGTTGAAGTGAAATAGTATTCACCTATCCTGGAACTAGTTTGTGAGAATTCTTTGGAGGATACATGCAAAAAAGAAAGAAAGCAATCTGAGTATCTCTTCTTGAAATACCTTTAAAATGGGTCCTGCTTCAGTTTCCACTATGAAAGAGAATAAGGAGCAGGACCTCTTAAGTGGTGGCAGTGGCACCAGTATAGTATATTATTCTCATCTAATAATTTTATTTTTCTGTTAAAATGGTTTCTAAAATGTTTTGATTGATTGAGAGCGTTTTTTTTTTTTTTTCAACTATATGTTAAGAGAAAGATTGCTTCTCCTTTTCTAGTTGTATTTCTGATGGTGAATTTGAAAAATAAATACTGAAGTTTTTTATTTTCCCCCAAAATGATTTTTCTTTTCTTTTTTCTCTTTCCTTCTTTATTTTTTCATTTCTCTCTCTCTCTCTCCCTTCCTCCCTTCCTTCCTTCTTTCCTGTTAGTACAAGATTTTAATATTAACATGAAATACATATGATAGAGAACCAATTTGATGTTAAGGCACCAGGCTTGAAACCTGTGAGTTCTAATTTTTTCTTTAGGCACAAAGCCTTTTAGTTGATCTTGGGCCAGTTGCTCTCTCTCAGCCCTAAGGAGACAGTGGTGAACCACTTCCGAAATCTTGCCAAGATATATACAAACTGCGGAGATTTCAGAGCATAGTCCAGTTCAACACTGATTTGAAGGCACAAAACAAAAATCCTGATGTATTTAATATATGATGGGGATGGGAAGTTTGTCCAATTGTATTAATTTGTTTACCTTAAAACTGCAATCTTAAAGGTTCTTATTAAAGACAGGTTTAAATCTTGATAAGCTTTAGATTTCGTAAGCATTGGTTTCAGCAGTAGGCTAAAAGGCTCAGCTTCTTCAACATACCACTGCAGTAGCCTGTATGGCCTCTTTCTAAAGAAGATGGATTTCAACAAAAGAGTTGAATTGCCACACAATTTTGTAGCTAGGAAAACTACAATACTGGAAGAATGGTGGAAACCCTCTGGCAAACTTCATTTTTGCTACAAGTGCTTCTGAATTTTTCTATTGACTTTAGGAATAGCGATAAATCCTTGGTTAACAATGATAAATTATAATCAGATTTTCTGTTGCTAAGTGATGCAGTCATAAAACGTGATATCACATAGCCATGCTATTTTGTTATGGCAGTTCCAGCAGGGCCTGGAACTTGTAATTTAATTAGGTTTTAAAATTTACATTGATTTGCATGTTTGCATTCATTTCCTTCCCCCACTAATCTAGGGCCAAAGTTCTCAAAACTCTAGAATATCATGGCTTTCACCAACGTGGAGATAGATGATGCATTTGACTACTTGTTCAAGATCATTCTGATTGGAGACTCGAATGTGGGAAAGACATGTGTGGTCCATCGTTTCAAGTCAGGACAATACCATACGAAGCAGCAGAACACTATTGGGGTTGACTTTACAGTGCGTTCCCTGGAAATCGATGGCAAGAAGGTGAAGGTGAGTGATATAGTTCTCTACTGTGTCTTTTGATGATTGGTAGGATTTTCCCACCTAGCCATTAGCCTCATGCTTCTCGTCTTTCCTGCACTTCATGCCATTGTATGAATGTCCCTATAGCTGGTCCCTGGGCTTTGGGTAATGAGAAAGGAAATGAGGCAGTTTAACTGGGCAACGGAGGAAAGGTAAAACTTGAATTTTAGGCAGTGCCTCATCCTCATCCTTATTATAACCTTATAAGTTCAATGACTGGGCTGAGCAAACAGTAAAGTGTACATCCAAGCATTTCTAAAGACAAGGGAAGGGAGTAAGTCCTGGCTGCATCATATTTTGGAATGAGGAAAATCCCAGTAGTTGAAAAATCATATGAGACAGGAGTTCCAGGCAAATTTTCCAGATCCAGAGAAGGGTATAACTTGGCAGCATCTTTTCTACAGCAACAGTTGGGATAACACTGGGTCATTCCTAAAGATCTGAAGTACCCAAGCCAGGAAAAGCTTTGAAATACAGTTATGCATCACTTGCCTGAGAATAGCTGCGTTAGAGATTTTACTGTAAATATAATTCCACAAGGCTAAGATAGAAAAGTAGTGGCTGAGCAACAATTTCTAGCATTTAGGTGTTTTGAGAAACCATTTGTATTTCTGCCTCTATTAAATTTCCTTCGAATTTCAGATACAAGTGTGGGATACAGCAGGCCAAGAACGCTTCCGGACAATAACTCAAAGTTATTATCGCAGCGCCCATGGTGCTATTCTCGCCTACGATATAACCAGAAAATCTACATTTGAATCTATTCCTCATTGGATTTATGAAATTGAAAAATATGGCGCAGCAAACTTGGTCTTAATGTTGATTGGTAAGTTCTGAAGTCTATCCCATCTTTGCCCCTTTTATATGAGAATTACTTTTAAAACAAGGGCGGGGAGGGAATAGTACTGATTTTACTGAAACAGAATTGGTGAGCAAGAAATATGGAAGAGCTTGTATAAATATCTTAAGAGAAAATTTATTTCCCAATTATTGACTTTGTGTTTTAAGAAATGCAATTCTAAGTTTACCTTATTAGCACATGAATCTTCTTAGCTACATGGTAATAAATTCTAGGTGAAATACCACAATCAAGTTAATGCATTGTCAAAACATTAAAAATTAGAATGAGACTGTCATTCAATCTAGACAATTGAGGAAAAAATAACAGCATCTTTTGTGATAAAATATGAATATCATAGGGCTAAGACAATTAAATTATCAATAATTATTGTATGAATTGCCCAGGGGCAGCCCTAATATTAGATAGAATGAGGTCATTTTGGTAGATCAATCAGGACAGTAAAATAAAAATAAAAATAAAATATTGTTAATCTGAAACCAGAAATCTTCAGGGAAGAGAATAAAACTTCCTTAAATGCATTACATACTATACCTGTCTTGTGGCTAAAACAGGGGCTCCCAGCCCCTGGTCTGTGGACCAGCATGCAAAAAACCAGTCTGTGCAAACAGGCGAAGTCCCATCCATGGGATGCAGGCAGCATGTGAAACCATGCCCTCTCCGGTCTGTGGAAAAACCTTGCTCCACGGAACTGGTCTCTGGTGCCCAAAAGTTTGGAGGCTGCTAGGCTAAGGGACTAAATGTTGCTGTATGAAATACACAGGGCTAGCCTTCCGTTTTATGAAGTAAGCAGCTGCTTGAACTGATCAGCTGAGATGGCTAATGAATTGGGAGAAATATCTACCCTCTGTTCTTCCAACTAGCCTCTAGAGAAGTCCATTGTATTTTTAAAAGGTACAGCTCTCTGAAGTACAGGCAGTCCTCGTCTTACAATAGTTCATTTAGTGACTTTTTGAAGTTACAATGGCACTTTAAAAAGTGATTTGTGACTGTTTTTAATAATCATGACTATCCCTATGGTCACATGATTAAAATTCAGATGCTTTGCAACTGGCTCATATTTATGATGGTTGTGTCAGGATTCCGGCAATTGCCCTAATTAATTGATGAGCCTCAAGTGTTCTTTTGCAACCTTCTGCCAAGCAAAGGCAATGGGGAAGCCAGATTCACTTAACTATGTTACTAGAGCCCTAGTGGCACAGTGGTTAGAATGCAGTATTACAGTCTACTTCTGCTGACTGCCAGCTGCCAGCTGTCCGGTAGTTCGATTCTCATCAGGTTGAGTCAAGGTTGACTCAGCCTTCTATCCTTCCGAGGTGGGTAAAATGAGGATCCAGATTGTTGGGGGCAAGATGCTGACTCTGTAAACTGCTTAGAGAGGGCTGTAAAAGCACTGTGAAGTGGTAAATAAGTCTAAGTGCTATTGCTACTAAGTTAGCAACTGCAGTGATTCACTTGACAAATATGGCAAGAAAGTGGCAAAATTCACTTACCAAATATCTTGCTTAGCAACAGAAATTGTGGGCTCAATTGTGCTTCTCAGTCAAAGACTACGTACCTGTACCTTATACAGCCACCCATTTTTGTTGGCTCTAAAGTGGTCCTCAGCATACGACAGGTTATTGCCATGATTATTCAGTGTGTCCTCTTGAGAATTCAACATAGATAGCGGTGGGACTGGGAGCTTAAAACGGTAGTATGTGTGTCATGCTACAATAATGCACACTCTATAAATTTGCATCAGTTGCACACATAACTGCTTATGAAATTTGTATCATTCATGCAATAATTTTATGACATGTCAGTGAGATTTGTGCCACTTATGATCCTCAGAGTAATGCTATTAGAGCTGCCAGGGTGCTGAGCAACAAGGGAGAAAAATGTGAGGAGTAAGACCACTGTGGAAGGAGGAGCAAGGAGATGGCACAAGAATGCTTTGCTTCTTGGTTTCCTTCATAGTTTTACCTCTGCTCCATTTATTTGCCCCAATTATCCACTGGAAATCTAAAAATGGTTATAATTCAATTTAAAGGGAACAAATCAGACGAATCAGAGAAACGGCAAGTCCTGTTTGAAGATGCTTGCACATTGGCCGAGAAACACGGTCTTCTGGCTGTACTGGAGACTTCAGCCAAGGAGGCCCAGAATATTGATGAGGTTTTTATCTTGATGGCTAAGGAACTGATGGCTAGGAATACCTTACAACTTCACGGGGAGAATGGATCTTCATTCAACATCCATCTGGACGCTAGGCCAGTGATGGTTTCACAGACTGAGACATCCAACTGCTCCTGTTGAGCAAAGGCAACGTATTCCAATGCTCTCTTCCATTACAAGAATTTTCCATGTGTGATTCCACTGTATCATCCTAATACCATGCCATCATTGCTGAATGTCGTTCTTTGGAAACAGAAGGCTTCTTGTTTCCACTGATCAACAACAAAGACTGGATGAAGGACTTTCTTTGGCAGACATGAGCTGATACAGAGAAGATTGCCTGTGAATACTTCTGATAAGCCACTTTCTATCAGCCTTTGGCTGCTTTTCACTGGTGGCTATGAAAAATATGGTGGGTTTCTTGTACTGTATACTGTTTAGTTCAGGGATGATAAGAGTTGTTGGTAGCGATTGAGTCAAACTATTAATGGGTAAATACAGAATCTTTTTTTTAAAGAAATAGAAATCTAAGCAAGTACAAAACAAGTTCTGCAGGGTTTTTCTGCCTATCTAAGAAATGCCCGTTTAGTCAGTTTCCTATCTCGGATTACTATAACAATGTCTGTTTAAATTTATGTTTAACAAGGTAATCTTATTTAGTGTGTATTTTGGCTTCCTTAACTGTTTGATTTTGTGCAGCCCATAGATTACCAGGGAATGATTGTGATGCTCAAGAGATATACTTGAAAGAGTGTATGAAGAATACATGAAATTAAATGCTGATTTCAGTTATGTCATTTTTCCCCAACATGTGTAACAACTACTTAAGAGATGGTTCCACAAAACAAAGACTTATAGACCATTCCAGAAATATACTGAAACTACAAGCACTAAAATAGTGCATTTTTAATCAGTTACCATAAATATGATAAACTATATACCGTACTGGATCTGTTTTTTTAATAATAGCACTTAGTAGCTTTTAATATTTATCATTTATTTGCTAGTATTTTTTCAGTAAGTCAAAAGTCAATATAACAACATTTCAAAATTACTGGAAGGCATTTGTCAGCATCACAGTAGCTTAGTGGTAAATTTTTTACTACTTGATTATGAGAAAGCTGATCTCCCTGACCATGGTATTAATAATCAAAGAACTGAGTCCTCTTTTTTTTAGGTGTTTGTGAGTTCTTTGTCTTGCATTCCCAAGCAAATAATTCTAAATTTATTTCTTAAAGTAGAGAGACAGACTGTGAGTTTTCTATTTTGATTAAGTGCTTTTTCTGCTTGCCAACTTGATAAAAAAGCTTTGGGGGAAGAAATGAAATAGTCACTAAATCACCTCTCCGGATATGCTAGGCAGGGCATTCTGGGACTTATAGTCCCAATGCATCTGGAAGATATGGGTTTGGGGAAGTCCTGCCTCAGTACAGTGTTGATGCTTTAATCTTTGGTTTAAAGTCAAATTCCTCAGATTTACATTTTTATAATATAAGAAAATTTAGTATGTATTTATTGATGTTTTATTTCTTATTATCCATGCCCAAGAGTTTGTTGCTGAATTGCCTAGTTTTAAAGGGTAAGGTTGGTTCTCTAATTAGCACTGAATATTGATATATATTTAAAAGCCTTTCCTTTTTACATTATTTTAAGGTAAAATGAAGATTCTAATAAATAAGGGACTTTTCCATTATTGCTGAAGTAATGTATTGTTATGGAAATAAACTAGACAGAATGAAATTCAACATTTTTTAAAAAAAACTTAACATGGACCAGATACTCAAATACATGGTACTTGTGTGGATTTACACATTATGCTAAGTGATGGTTTTTATTACATGCTTTGTTAAATAAGATATGATAGATTGGTCTATAAAATGAGCTAAATAAAAATATAATTGGCTAGTGTGTGCTGCAATGTGTTGTATAAACCTAGCCAGTTTGGTTAGCTTATGACTGAATATGCAGTGTGAGCTCAACTAACTGGGTTAAATCAGTAAACCTCAATTCATGAATTAAGAGTGTACTGCATGGCCCTAGTATAGTAATCAATAGTGGTTTCAAATATGCGTGAACCAGGCCACCTGAATATGCAACAAACATGGTTATTAATTGTATCTAGGTTGAGGTCCTATTTTTGGTCAGATAGGAAAGAAAACTGTCAGGATCAGCTTCCAGAGCCAATGTATTAACCAAGAAAAAAAAAACAGCTGCTTTATGAACTCAAAAATAGGTGCTCTGTATCTCTTTTATCCATTATTTCTTCGAAGGATTTGTACAGGTATAGTGCCTATTCCTTCTTATTTAATATATTTACTTCCAAGTCATGATAAGACAAGATATGGTTATGGTTTCCAAATATATAGGGAGTCACTCCTGTAATCCTTTCTAGAATCCAAAGATGCTGCTTCCAAATAATGTACAATATAGGTTTAGAATGTTTTATGTAATCTCACAGCTCAGATATCATTTCATAGATCTCATCTGAGTATTGCAGCCCTGCATAGTTCTATTACTATTTTATTTCAAATTCAGATTTTTTTTAAAAAATGGTGATAGGAATTTGGCAAATGTTCTCTGAGTGCATTGGTCTGATAATATGAGATAGCTGTAATCCTTGTTCTATCAGATACATTAAATTAATGGTGCATTATTGAATCAGAGCATGGAACTACATAGAAAGAACATAGACGTGTGTGAGCCAGACACTCACTTTCTTGAAATCCACGTGGCAGTATTTATTCTCAAATAGGGGTGTTGCACCCCCCCCCCCCCCCCTCTACTACAGCCACAATCAGAGCAAGTGAGTAGAAAAACTCAGATTTTTTTTGGCCATTGTTGGAGTAACTTTCTATAATTCCTCTATGGCTATAGAGACCATTATCTTTTTAGATGTCCATATCTAAAGCAAAAACCTTTCTTACGAGGTTATTCAGCCCTAAAATGATGAAATGTGAATAAGAAAATAATTATTTAATGGCTATTTACATTAACAGAAGCATGGTAAAAGGCTAGAAGAAATCAGGTTTGGAATGCACTGGATATCACTGGGTCAATTCGTCTTAATAACTTTACAAAGATCAGATCTGAGCACAAATATACTGAGCACGATCATTTATTTTAATTCACTGAGAGGACAATATTGTATTTTCTGCCAGTTTGTCTCTACCTAAAATAGGTCTCCCAAAAGCTGTTAATTGTTTTGAACAAAATAAATTAGATCCATTAATGCCATCTGATTCATTCAGAGATAATCAGGCTGATGTCTCACAGTGACTACTTGGAAGATCCATACATAAAATTGTCAATCTAATAATCCAGGCAGATTTATGGTAGGCTACCTTAGATTAATGCAATTTTTATAGCATTTAAATAGAAATTGAAGCTGATACTCAAGTTGCTGCAAAATTTAAAAAAAAAAGCCATTTTCTCCTCCCGAATGGATTTCCCCCCATCCCAATGAAATCTCAAGAATACAAGAGATCATACTTTTTTTTCTTTTTTATTTGGGAAAAGTGCTTCTTACAAAAGGCAGCTGCAAAGTAACACAGACTTCAGCAACATATTTTGATTCCATTTAAAAGTGAAAGGAAATGCAATCTAAAAGGACATAAGCAGAACAATTCAAGGACAACCCAGCAGCATTAAATGTAATGAAAGTTAAAATTCCCTTGAAGAGGGGAGAGGAAAAGAGGAAAAAAGACTTTGATGACCTCAGGAGTTCTTCCTGGTAGAACTGGAGCCTACTTAGCCAACTCAGGTGTTCTGCAAGGCATCAAGGATCCTTCTAAGAGAGGCAGGGATTTTGTGGTTTTAACTCTGATTAATTTATCACTGTTCTACAACTTTGCGAAGATGAAGAGAGTACAAGAACCCCAATATGGTGGTACCCTAGTGGATAATTTGGTCCAAATTCTGGCTAGCAATATTCTTACACCTGTGTGACTCAGATACACCCAAAACGAGTAGAAGGATGACTAGGAAGAGAATGGAGTGCTGGTGTCAATAAGGAAGTGTCTACTCTATTAGTTGTTTCAAAGACAATTTCCACAGAATTTGCTGAGACCACAACATTCATTTCAAAATCCAGTTGAATGTTAAGATATCATGCACCAAAAGGTTTGTGTAAAGAAGGGGATGAGAGACTAGAGGGAGAGGGTTTAATACACACATATACCAAGTTGCCCAGCCCTTGGGATACAACTCTGTATTTTATTTGTATATACATACATAGAAAGTTCTCCTTTCACACACAAACACATTTGCCTTTCATGCCAAACAGTAAAAACCGGAACATTCGCACCTGGTTCTGGTTACACAGTAGTAAATAGTAAATGTGCAAGTAAACAAGAGACCAAAACCACAAATGAACACATGTACATGAGGGGGGTTTGGAATGGAGCTAAAGCCAGCCAAGAAAATATGTGCTGGCCTGAAATCTGAAGTAGGAAAATTGGTTTTCAGAGTCTCTTTTTGTGGAACAAGGCAGTTGGCCAACATCTGCCCATCCCCCCCGCCGTACAGCCAGTGTTCTCAGGTTTGTATCTGGGCTCTTAAAGATGAGTGTGGAAGTCCTGTAAACATTTGAACCCTGGAACTGGGTGAATCCTGTCAGGAACACAGATATAAAGCAACAAGTCTAATCTGTCTGTCAGTTAAATCCATTTTTACAAAAAAAAAACTAACGCTTTAAAGGTTTATTTCATGTCATTTGTTTAACAGAAAAAGAAACACACTCCTAGGGCTTGGAAGAAGGGGACAGGTGGGAAGGGAGGAAAAAGGAGACAGATCTTGGGGTGGGGGAGTTATAACAGCAGCACCTGGAATTGATAGGCCTGCCTAGGAGAAAAACACAGGCACTGCCACAACACCACAGGAAAAAGAGCTACTGCCTGGGAGGGTGGGGGGGAATGGAGCAGACAGTCCAAACACCACAAAGATGTGCTATAGGTCCAAGTCATAATAGTCTTCCAGCTCATCATGAAACAAGTCCCATTCATCCTCGGAGTCTGTTAGGTCATCATCGCCTCCTGCCGCCAGCAACATGAGAAGCATTTCACCCAGCTCAAAGGTCACCACCTCATCCTCATCATTCTCAAAGGGATCGCTGCTCTCCCTCTCTTCAATGAATTCCCAGAACCGGTTTCTCCGCTGAGCCTACAAGTAGAGCAGAATTACTGGCCTCACGTGAGCGCCATTCCCCAAACAAACCTAGTCTTCCAGCGTAGATGATTCCTACAGCTGGTGTTCCAATATTCCTTGTTCCTCAAAAAAAAAAAAAAAGCTTAAGAGAGAAAGCTTGGTCAAAGGGGGATTATTTAGGACAGGGGTGTCAAACTTGACTTCATTGAGGGCCGCTTCAGGTTGTGTTTGACCATGGGGGAGTGGGGTGGGAGTGGCCAGGGTGGGCGTGGCCAGCTGAACGGCACTCATGTTGGGGGTGCTGAGCGCTCTGCAAGTGAAAACGGAGCTCAGGAAGGCCACATGTGACCCTCTTGAGCTCCGTTTTTGCTGGCAGAGGCACCATGGGCCAGTGTAAGCACCCTTTGAGCTGGATCCAGATCACGGTTTCCGGGACGGTCCCGTGGGCCAGATCTAAGCACTGTGCGGGCTGGATCTGGCCCTTGGGTCTTGAGTTTGACACCCCTGATTTAGGTCAAGATTACCTCTCTAATGCTACCAGTATCTGAAAATCAAAGAAAATCTCTACAGATACCCATGCAAGGAATTAGGATCATGAAAAATATAATCATAATCCTGACATTTTTTACAACTTTTTTTCTGTTGGGCAGACATTTTGCATACTTGCATGTAAGGTGTACCTCTGTGTCAAAGATGTAGCCTAAAAACAGACAAACACCACAGCATTATAACAAGCCTGCAAATTGCAGTCTACCTAACAGGAGGTACCTTTGGATACTATCCATTTTCTGCACATTCAAGAAATTTCAAACAAGAGATGATAGAAAGGGATAATTAAGCTCTTAGTTGACCACAATAGAGGGCTAATAGTCTTGAGGGGGTCGGCTACAGCCAGGCCTTCATTAATATATCTTACTAATTTAGATTTGGTGGGAAGACTCTCTTGCTAATTCTGATACAATTTCATTCCAGGGAGGGCTACTTGATCATTCTTAAAATAAAAAAATATTAAAGCTACATCGTTATCCACCATTTTATAATTAAAGTAGACAAAGGGGACTAGATACATTATTCTAAGTAGCACTAAGCGAACATTTATGTAGAACAATGCATGTTTCACAAAAATCAACTATTCTTACCAAGTCATCCTACAAGAAACGTTCGTTCATTCAACATAAAAATATAGTATTGGCATTGCTCTGATTTGGCTACGTTACATTTAATCATGCCCATTACATGATCCTGGACTTTTAAGTTGATTAACCTCTCATGATTAAAAGATGTCAAAAAACGGTGCAGGAAAAAAATTATAAGAGGATATGAAGTTTTTGCTTCTATAAAGTTATTCTTTTGATGCCCCTTCCCCATCCTGTAGGTCAAAATAGTTTTTATTCAACTATCTTCAGAAGTCTAATTCAAAACTTATTTTTCTATTGCAAAGGGAAAAAAAAGTCAACAAAAGCAGTGGGACTTACTCTGTATCTACTTGAAGTTCCCACTTTCTGCCTTTGGGGTTCCTCTCGGCGACCATCAGGATATGCGTGTTTGTAAAAACAGTTCCCTCCAAATGGGCAGCTCCCACGGCCTTCATCAAAATACCTGCATGGCTTGTTGCTGGAAAGGAAAATATCGCAACCCTTACTCACAGCATAGCCAATC